ATTATAAAAGTAAAAAAATTGAAGTCATTTCTAAGCTTTCAAGTAAGCACCTGTACCCCAGCTCTTGTATGCATAAATAAATAAATCTTTAAAAAAAAAAGTAGAAAGGATTGCTGGACACTCATTGTTAGATCAAATACTTATATTTTTGTATGTCAATAAGATGGATAGCCATGTTGGGACTGTATAGCTGCAACACAAGTGAGGTCAGGAGTAGGGGAAAACATACTGTTCTGACTGAATGAAAATCTTTATCCACAATTGCTTATCCCCTTTAAAGTAAGTCAACAATTGAATAGCACGAGCGATTGACTCTTTTCCAGGACTATTGTTTTAGTTTGCCCTACTGGTCAGCTTCTCAAGATAATCACTTCCTTATCAGAGTTCTTATCTTGTTGGGAAGTCAGATTTCCTGTCTCTTTCTGAAGGAGCCAGTTTTACAAAATGTGTTCTTTTTTTATTGTAATATGTTCTAAAAATTGGAAAAAATATCATTATGCCAAAGGGCCGGGCTAAACTGAGTTACTGACCATTGACTCTTGGTTAAGTTTAATGTAATGGATCTTCATATCCAGATCTTACTGTGGCAGCTTTAACTGGGCAAAATTTCTTTTCATGTTGGGTGGTATAAATTAATACAATATCCTGCACTGGTGCTTTTAAAATTTTTATCACCAAATTATGCCTGGGAGATACTGGGATCGCTAAACAATAGTGACACTGATACTTTTACATTTCTCTTAAAGTTCAAACTATAAAATAAATATTTGAGTCATTTAATCCTGTAACTACAATTTGCTCATTCTTGCCAGACTTTCCAGCTTTCCATCTTTGGTCGTTTTGTTTTGTTTCACCTAAGACAAAATAATTACAGGAACAGAGGTTTCTCTTGTTTCTTTGAGGCTTTTTATTTGTTTTGTTATGTTTTCAAAACACTGGAAATATCTCAGTGTTCAACTCAAAATTTTCATTTTCTTTCCATTGTGATAATTTTTAACTATTCTTTGAACATTACTCCAAATAGCTACATTTTTTTCAATATGTTATGTTTCAAGAAATAATAGAGGATCCTACTTTAATCTCTCTTTTTTGTCGAAAATGCATGTTTTAGATTTCTAACGAGCTCTTTAGTTCTGTAGGAGCTTTTTTTTTTTTTTTTTTTTTTTTTTTAATTGAGACAGGGCCTCCCCTGGTAGTGCAGTGGTTGAGCGCTGGGCTGCAAAGCTGCCTGCAGCCTATGCAGCACCGGTTTAATCCCCGGCTGCTGGCGAGGGTCCCACATGGTGCACAGACCTCTCCTGCCACCCACTGCTCCCCTCAGCAGTGTACTTCGTCACTCTGCCTGTTCTGTTCCCCACTCTGGCTCTGGTGAATTCTCTCACCCTCCTGTGCTTCTGACTGTACCTAGTGCGTCTATAAATAAATAAATCTTTAAAAAATAAAAAAATAAAATAATTGAGACATAATTGACATAAAATTTACCCTCTTAAGACTTACATACAGTTCAGTGATTTTTAGTATATTCAGAGGGTTGTACAAACCATCAGCACATGCTAATTGTAGAACATTTTCATCATACCAGCTTCATTAGATTATAACAGGTAGCTATTTCCTTATGAATTTGGTCTAAGTGTTTTTTTTTTTTTTTTTAAATCAATGTGTGAAAGTGAAAATAGTAAGATAGGAAACTTGCTTAAAACACTTGAGATGTATTAACCTAATACAATTTGTAGAGCTGATTGGAAAGTCAACGATAAAAATATCTTTATCCATCATCCTCACACTCCCAGCTGCTGAATTATTTGAATGCAAATTTCAGAAAGCATATTTATCTGAAAATTCTTTAGTATATATTTCAACACTATTTCCTGGCACGCCATCCTTTCCCTCTCTCATTTAGTAGATGCCCGTGTTTACATGAGTCTGTGTGGGTCTTCTTTGTTCTATTCTGGTATTCATTTCTCCCATTCCTAATTTCCCTGGCTTTATAGTTTGTTTTGCTATCTGGTAAACATTAGCTCTTAGTAATAATAACATGAATTGTGAAAATTTTTATCTAATCTTCATAGCTACTCTAAAGTAGGCAGTTTAACCCCATTCTACAGATGAGAAAACCAATAATTATGGCAGTTTTTATTGTGTTGCAAAGCACTCAGCAAGCACGTAACAGACCTAGAATTTGAGTTTGGGTTCCGTCCTGAAAGTCCTGAGAAGGGAGGATTACTGCTTACGAAATTCTTTCTCTGTTGTCTGAGATCACTTCCGATATATTTAATTACAGATTTAATCTTCATTAGAACTCCATAAGTATATTGAACTTTTCAGTGTGCAGTTTGCTTTTAAAGAAGCACCTATTATTGTAGGAGTAACTAACTGAACTAAAAATAGACATATTTTATTTTAAAATGTATATACATATATAAGTTGAACTTCGCTATTGGTACTGTCAGTGTTATTGCAGGGGAAAAATGATGCATTTTTGTTTACCAAGTGAGTTTCTATATGCAATAGAGCCTCTGTGTTTGAAAGTTAAAATTTTTATGTTTCAGTACTGCACCGTTAAATTGTTTATTTGAAAGACACTTACTATATTTGATTAGGCACAGTGTCGTCACTGTAATTTATTAAAATCACAAGTCACGTTATTAATATGAAATGAACCCAAAGAAAATAGAAGGCATTTTCTTCTTATTTAAGCAACAAGAAGACCTAAATTTGGAAGAGGCCTTCCTAATATTAGCATACCTTCTCTCTGCAAACACACTGAATTGTTCTGTGTAAAAGAGAAATTATTCCTGTGAGGTGAAGACACCTGTGTAAATATTTCTTTTCATTCAACAAAATGTGTTCCATTCTAGCGGTTTATTCTGTATTATGTGCATTATACTTATTATGTGTTGGGTGCTGACATACTTCTCAGCACAGGGTTGGTTAATGTGTAATGATAATAAATAATGAAATAGCCTGTAAAAGCCTTGAAACTTTGGAGTAAATTCTACCCTACTTTATAAAGAATTATGAAACACGTACTAACTTCTGCATTTATGAAATACTTAAGGCGTATTTCCCAAGGGCTATCCCTAAAATGAGTTAATTAACACCTGGGGAGAAATGAAAGAAATCAAAATACTATATAACTCTAAAAAATATTTTTTCATGTAGGAAATATATAGCCATCATGTTATTATTCAATATTAAGAAATTCCAGGTAACATACATCTCAAGAGGAGTGAACCCATATTCCTAAATCATGCTGTAAACCGGCATTACCTCAATAAAAAAATAATACCAATATTTAAAAATTCCTGATAATTTGGTTTTTTATTTTTTTTGGGTTTTTTTTGGCTCTAGTCAAGTAGTGTTTTCTTAAATGGTATAACCCCATAAGTGAAAAAATTGCTTTTGTATGCTCTCTTTCATAGACTGTTCCTTATTTAATTAAAAATCTTTTGTGTGTAGAAATTTGGATGGGAAAGGTAAATATTGGGGCTCTGGGTGTTTCTTTGCCATCTTTCTTATATCTACTAAAGATTCTTTGATGTGTTTGACCACCCCACCTCCCCAGTTCACCTCAGTATATCTGCTTATTTGCTCAAGTCATGGTGTACTTATAAAGTAGTTTTGGAATTGCTAACCCATACTCTATGAAAAACAAATTCACTAACCAGAGTATTGTTTGTAGTTCTTTTTGTCTTTATCTACAAAATACTGTATTTCAAAGTTATCCAGGTTAAAATTTTCTTACCTGTCTCCTGCATTGTGATTACACTTTCCATTTGTAACAGACTTGGGTTACTGTTTGTGTTTCTTTTTGGTTATCCAGCATGTTCTGGTTGACTTGAACTATTTATTTTTGATATGTGAGAGATTACCATGGTTCTCACAGTCAGGACCATTCAGAAGGATGTATTCAGAGAATGGGTATGCTCTTCACCCCTTCATCTCGTTACTCCCCGCCTTTTCATCCCGTTTACACCCACCTATTCCTGTAGGTGACCAATCTCATTAATTTTTAATTTATCTCTTTCTTTTGTACAAATGAAATGTACAGTATACAATCATGTGGCACTTAACAACGTTTGTATCGATATCAGACTACATACGTAATGGTGGTTCCAACACACTATACCACGCCTGGGTATGTAGTACATCATCTTGGTTTTATGTAATTACACTCTGACACTCACACAATAACAAAATTGCCTAATGCCACATGACTCCCGTCATTACGTGACACATGACTATATGTGTATTTCTCATACCTTCTTTAAGGTAGCACACTCTAGATACTCTAGTGATTTGAGTTAATAGTGTATCTTACTAGATCACAATATTGTATCTTTAGTATATATATTAACAATATATCCAGTTTATCCCCTCAGTATATTCAGGAACCATTCCTTATCAGTTTATAGAAACCCTCTGACTCCTTTTTACAGTAGCATAATACTCCATTGTGTGGATGTGTCATACTTTATTCAAGCAATTTTCTTATGTCTGACAATGTAAAGTTTCCAGTATTTTGTAGTTGAAAACTGCTACAATGAATAGAGTTGAGTATATAGTCTTTTGTGTTGTTAAACACAAAAGGTGTTGTTAAACATCTTCAGAGTAAATTCAGAAGAGTGGCATTGCTAAGTTAAAAGGTAAGTATATATATATACATGTTAGATGTCACTAAACATCTCTCTTCAGAACAGCTGTATCTGTTTGTGTTCACAGCAGCTGTTTCCCCATAGTCTGGTCAGTGAATATCTGTTCATAACATTATTCTCCCCAATCTGATGGGTGAGAATGGCACCACAACATTTTAATTTATAATTGCTCTAATTATGAATGAGACTGAACATCCTGTTGTGTGCATAAAGACCATTTTACATCTTTGTTGTATGCTTTAAATGGGTTATATTGAATGTACATTTCGTTGTTACATTATTTACTTTCAGTTTGCCAAGGTAACTTAATAGTTACCAGATATTAATAAGACTTTTCTCTTTCAGATCTTCCTTGGTGGCTTATTTTAATTCGGCAGAAAGCATTGGTGGGCAAACTACCAGGTGACCATGAGGTCTGTAAAGTTACCAAAATTGCTGTGCTATCACTCTCTGAAATGGAACCTCAGGATCTTGACCTGGAGGTAAGGTGAAGTCTCAGGAAGTTGTGTGGAGACCTGATATAAATATAATAGAAAATATTAGCATTTGGTTCAATAGAACAGAATGATACAATTTTCAAGCTGGAAACTATCTTTAAATAATTTAATCCTGTGGTGGTAGTAGTGGAACCTTTGTTGCAAAATCTGTGGAGTTTTTATAAGACATATAAAAGCAGAGCTGCTTAGCTTGAGGTGGGAATGGAATGAGAGGGAATTCTTGGGCCCTGCCTGTTTGGTTCTAGAGTGGATCTGGGGCATTACCCTATAACACAACACATTAATATTTCTGGAAGAATCAAGTATTCATACGAAGGGAGTTAAGTGATGACTGTCATTAGTCTTATATCAGTTCTGGGCATACTTTGCCATTAAATGAGTTTGTAATAAGCTTTAAAAAATAAACTGTCAGGGGCCTCCCCTGGTGGCGCAGGCGGTTGAGCGCCGCGCTGTGAAGCTGTTCGCAGACTCTGCAGCACCGGTTCGATCCCAGCTGGCCAGTGAGGGTCCCACATGGCTCAGCAGACCTCTCCTGTCTTGCCTGCTGCTCCCCTCAGCAGTGTATTTTGTCAGTCTGCCTGTTCTATTCCCCACTCTGTCTCTGGTGAATCCTCTCACCCTCCCGCTCATCTGGCGTGTTCCCTGATTCTTGTATATATAAATAAATAAATCTTAAAAAAAAATAAACTGTCAGGTTTTAGTTTTTGGACTTCAGAGTTGTTGATGAGGAAGTTAAGGGATTTGGGGGCCTATATCAACTCTCCCAAGTCCCAAAAGAGGAAAGAAAGAGGGGGTGAGAGAGAAAAAGAAAGAAGACATTGCTAAACTAAGAATGAAGAAGCGTCTCCATGGACCATGAATGGAACCAGTAGATCCAACTGAGGCCATTGCCCTGCTGGGTTCTGCATCCAAAAGCAAGCATGTCAGTAAGGGACCAATAAGGGTAGCTAATGGGAAACAGGACCAGGGCATGCTCAGAACTTGAAGCCTGGTTCCAGAGAGTGACTCTCTAGCTCTTGAAAGCAAGCTGTTAAGTTGTCTGCACTTAGTGCAATAATCAATAATCAGGCATCAGGAATCCTCCTCCCTGTTAAACCCTAGCACCTCCCATGAGACACACTGGCTTGGGCAAAAGATAAGGGTCTGATTTTACCCCATAGCAATCAGCAGGATGTCAGTGGGGTTAATAGGAAACCTTTAGGAGAGGGATTAATGGAAGGTATGGTTTCTTAAGTGATCCAGTGTATGGAAACACCATTACCTGGCATAGGGCATATCAGAGAAGGGACAAGATTTTGGAAACAGATATGATCAGTTTTGAGGATGCTGAATTTGAGGGAGTAGTGTGTGGAGTAGGAGGGAGAGGTTATATTTTGGGGACTTGAGCTCAGAGCAGAAGAGCAGAGTTAGAAATGTGGGGTTGGGGTCTCCCTGGTGGTGCAAGGGGTTAAGAGACAACCTATGAAGCTATTCGCATCTCTGCAGAACGAGTTCGATCCCTGGCCAGGGAGCAACCCACATGGTGCTGCAGACTCTTGTATGCATAAATAAATAAATCTTAAGGAAAAAAAAAAGAAATGTGGGGTTGGATATAGTATAGTTAAAATGAGGAAAAAAAATGAAATTTCTAGACAGAATACGAAGAATGGAAAAAGACCTAAGGTTAGAATCTTGGGTACACCATCGTCTTTAGAGACAAAAAGTGATGCCAACAAATAAGTCAAAGAAGGAGCAGTCAGAGTGGGGGCAAGAACTCAGAGAGACTGGAGTCATTAAATATTCATGACAGGGTATTATGCATTTGTCAGACATAGTTATTCCTTCAGCGCATCCAAGTACACTGATGATATCTTCCTCTTGCCCCGGGGTATGTATTTGGGAGAGAATTGGGCTAGAAGTACATAACAACAATCAGTTGAAGATTCCATTGCATCTGAAAACTTGGTCTAGTCTCAACTTCCACATCTGATCAAACAGGACTGGTCTCCCCTGCTCCAAAAAAATTCATAAACTGGGGCCTCCCTGGTGGCGCAGCGGGTTGAGCCCAGTGCTGTGAAGCTGTCCGCAGCCTCTGCAGCATGGATTCGATTCCTGGCTGGCCAGGGAGATTTCCACATGGCGCAGCAGACCTCTCCTGTTGCACCCGTGGCGCCCCTCAGGAGTGCTTTCGGTCTGTCTGCCTGTTCTGCTCCCCGCCCTGTCTCTGGTGAATCCTCTCATCCTCCTGCGCCTCTGGCCTATACCTCAGCTATTGTATAAATAAAAAATAAATCTTAAAAAAAAAATCATAAACTATGACTAGCTTTTGTTCTACTCATTGTTTCTTTTTTTGTCCTGTGTATCATCTAGTAGTAGTTCTTTTGTAAGTAAGGCACTGCTGATGATAAAGCATTTAGTAACTGTTAGCTCTTAACACAGGAGTCTGTCAGCTGGTGTAGCAACAAAACTGGAGTGCTGGGGGAAAAAAAAGTTGGTCTGCATTTGACTTGTAGAATTCTTGTGTCCCTTTCAGAATGTTTGCTTTGTGTATTGAGCCATGTGAAATTGTATGTAGAATCTTTTACTTTCTATGAACCGTTGAGCCCATCTTTTATCTTCCATGTTCCCATTCTCTTCCTCACCTTTGCCAGTTAGACGTTTCCTGCAGCCCTAATGCTGGGTTCCATTGGTGTGTGTAGGATAGAAGGAGAGAGAGTTGTTGAAATGTCCAACTTTTAAGATTTCCAAAAGAGCAGATCTTAATATCATCTCAAGCCAAAACATATTCATGAGCTTGAACATTTAGCACAGATAGCTGTCAAATAATGCCCCCAAATCACCCAAATGTGTGTTCTGCAATATTATTAATCTTATGTGCCAATTTTCAAAGCATTAAAAAACTTGACCAATGCATTTTATACTTCAGTTGTAGTAGGTAAGAGTTTGTTATAATTATCATCCTAATCTGAATTTCCTACCTCTCGATCCTAAGTATTTCCTGTCCTCTATCATTTGCTTATCCTCTGCGGTAGTTTTGTAATCCTTGCAACCACAGCTAACACGTGTTTTCTGATGTCTCCTTGGTCATATTACTAAATCTTGAAGTTTACTTTTATCTACAGCACATGAATTTCTACTTGACCATTTAACAAGCAGATATTAATAACAATTCTCCTTCTCTTCCTAATTATTTAGCTCTGTAAGAAACATCATTTTGGAATTAACAAACCAGAGAAGATTATACCATCTCCAGATGACTCGAAATTTCTGCTGAAGACTTTTACACATATTAAGTCTAATGTGTCAGCTCCTAATAAAAAGAAAGTAAGTGTTTGACATGGGGCTTGGAATTTATCTTTCATTAGTTTTAAAGTGTATGGTAATTTTTCTCCCAGTAAACTTATTTTCAAACTACTTGTCATAGTAAAGCATTGTCTCTGCATGTTCTTGGGAATTATTTTTACTTTTCCTCTAGGAAGTTGAATATTAGCCACATTAAGATTCACACTTAATTCCTGTGGTAATAGATTCATTTCTTCTAGGTTAAAGAAAGTAAAGAGAAAGAGAAGTTGGAGAGAAGATTACTTGAGGAGTTGCTAAAGATGTTCATGGACTCGGAATCCTTTTATTATAGCTTGACCTATGATCTGACCAATTCGGTGCAGAGGCAAAGTGCTGGGGAGAGGGACCCCCGTCCCCTCTGGCAGAAGGTACTCCTCACAGCTTGGAGCAGGGCCCCCCCCACTGAGGGGACAACTTGCAGACCCTTTGACTGCTATAGGAAAATTGAAACAACATGTTTCTGAACTATTTATTCTCTAACTTTTCCAGGTCGATGACCGATTTTTTTGGAATAAATACATGATACAAGATCTTACTGAGATTGGTGTGAGTAGTTGTTTCTAAAATATCCTAATGTACATAATATTTGTGGAGCAAGTATTCTTCAATTGTATTGCAATAAATTAAAAATTTCGCAGTAGTGTTTTTCCCAATGAAATGGGAACCATTTAGCGAGGGAAACCAAAGCATTATTTTAAGACAGTTCATGATTTTACTGCATAGACACAGGCTTAAATCAGTTTAGTAGGTTCCCATAGGATAGTAGCAAATTTAAGACTGTGGAGTTAACATCCACGGAGTTCCTGTAAAAAGAGGTGCTTTGTTTACTCATTGGAAATGTTGAAATCCAGTTGTCCTTGTGATGATACCCCGTCATTTACCTATGCTGTTTGCTTATCTGGGAATTGGGATAGACAGATCTGCAAGGACAGCCCAGGACTGCTAGCAGTTGAACCAGGGAAGGCAGGGACTAAGGTGATGTTATTGCATGAGTTTCCTTCCAATTTTATGATTACTTCCTTTTCTCTGTTGGAGAATTATGATTGTCCGACAACAATTCACTTAATCAGTCAACAAATATTTGCTGAAGGCCTGCTATGTGCCAGTTACTGGATTGGATACAAAGTGGGCCAATAGCTAAATAGGGGCACATATTGTCTTTTTCTTAAATTTAAAAATTTTCTTCTTCCTTTCTCCCACTTTGTGGGAGTCATTATAAATTATTTTGACTTTATTTTGTGGCATCTACCACTAGATATCATAAACTTCTATTTGAGAATGAGGCGTGAAAATGTTCTCACCTCTTTATGATTCTAATCAAACTATGTCCACCAAAACTCAGTGATGGGGATATTAGGGTGTCTGTAATGAATATGTGTCCTGTGTGCTGACATTGGCAGAGTCTTTGTCAAACACTGTATCGCCATTTAGAATTGATGACTTATAATAAAGGTGACATTTTGCACATACATTCTCTGCTCCTGTGAAGACCTTTGCATTTATTGCTAGAACAAAAACACAGTAATGGGAATGGTGATAAGAACAATGAATACAAATAGGCTCATCGCTATTTTCAAATCTAACTACCTTCCTAACATCTTTCCACAGCCTCCATAAAACAAAACGAAACTGTGAGGTAGGGCCTGGAGTATATGGTTATGGAAGAAAAGGTGAACTAGAAATTGATGCTGAGGTTAAAATGAGATCAGTTATGGAGAAAGGAGAGACAGAGGGACGAAGCACAACTCTCTGGGGGATCTTTTTTTTTTTTTTAAACTTTTATTGTCCCTGCATACAATCAGTTGAGAAATTTTAGTATTCTTAGTCTAAAAGACGTAGAGGAAGAAAGCTAACTCTAATTAGTACTCTCAATTATGTTGGATGACTTTAAAATAAAAAATTATCAAGGCTGTTTAGAGGAGTCAGATTCACTTCTTGGATTTTGGCTTGTGAAACAAATTTTTTTCTAAACTTGGAAAACAGTAGACTTCTTCGTTTCATAATACTGATCAGAGTTGTATTTATTAAATGCTTAATACAATTAGGAGTTGAAAATCAACCTTTAAACTTTATTTTTTTCTCTCTGACAGGAATAATCATAATAGCTGCATTTGTTAAACACTTACTATAAAATGACAGTCACTATGCTAGACATGTTTTACGCATTTACTGTTCACAGCAGTGTTTTTGAGGTGGTAGTTTTTTTTTCATGGAGAAGAACGTGGTGCATGGTAAGGTTAAGTGGTTCGCCTAAGTGAGTTTATGGATTTGCACCCCAGCAACTTGGCTCGGATGTAGTGGTCCGTCTCAGACAGCTCTTCCTGAGTGATGTCTATGAGAAAAGGATGAACCATACCTCCACCCCCTTCCATTCCTTAGTGCTCTCCAAAAAGCAGAAAATATGGTTAGACAGTGGAAGATTTCTGCTTTTAATAAACTGACAAATGTGTGCTAGCTAGCTACTGTTTGAGTATCAGAAAGTAGCCATGCTGTCTGGAATAGAAACAACATGATGTCGGTATTGTTTTTAGACACCAGATGTCGACTTCTGGATTATCCCCATTATCCAAGGTTTCGTGCAGATTGAAGAATTGGTGGTTAATTATAATGAATCGTCTGATGATGAGAAAAGCAGCCCAGAGACCCCTCCTCAGGATTCCACTTGTGTAGATGACATTCACCCACGATTTCTTGTGGCTCTCATTTCACGCCGAAGTAGGCACAGAGCTGGTGAGTAGAGGCCTCTGAGGGTGTGCAAACCAAATCCAGGTGGAACAGAAAATATGCAGTTGTGTAGAAATGTTAAGAATGGACTTGGAAACACAGTTGATCTTAGAGAGCTCAGTGATTCAATAGTTTGATGTAACTGGGAACCAATTTTTGGAGAGGTGAGTGGAAAGAGTTAGTAAATGGGGAAAGAAAAAGGGTATATATTTGGAGAAGAGAAGGAAGTCACCAGGGAGGTATTTATAAATACTGGCATTCCCACTGATTAGCTTGTCTCACACTGAAAAATCCTGGAGTACTGGCATTTTTGGGAAAAGCCATCTCTTCCACTTCAGTGGAATTAACTTCATCTTTTAAAATTCAGTGATATATATACAATTATGATTTGGGGCAAGATCATGCTGGTCTGTCTGGCAGTTGCATATTTGGTTCCCAGGCTGTCCTAAAAGACTAAGATTTGGTTAAGAAGCATTATCTAATCAGGCTAAGTTTTTAAAAAAAGTTTTTTTCTGTTTTAATTTTCCTTTAGGAATGCGCTATAAACGAAGAGGAGTGGATAAAAATGGAAATGTTGCAAATTATGTGGAGACTGAGCAGTTAATTCATGTTCATAATCACACCTTGTCATTTATTCAAACACGTGGTTCTGTGCCTGTCTTTTGGAGCCAGGTTGGGTATCGATATAATCCGAGACCTCGATTGGACAAAAGTAAGTGTGTTAATTATTTGGCTTGCAAATAGTGATTTCAGAGAGGATATTTTTAAAAATATTAGATACTGCAGAGGTTTGGATTTGCTTTGCCAGATAACGTCATTCAAAACCCACACAGTGAAATGTAATAGTGATAGAATGATAAGCATCATAATGGCTATTGACAGTTTAAATATTTAACAATAAAAATATTCCCCATAAAGCAAGATGTAGTTTCATAGATTTTAAATTGTTTGACGAATACTTTATTGAATGCTCAGTTTCAGAAACGGGTAAATATATCCAGTATTTGTAGGTACAGGAAATATCTTAAAACATGGCATCTGCAAAAAGTAGATTCCTTTAATCAGTGTCTCACTGTGGAAGGTTTGCTTTAAATATTGACAATTTAATTTTTTTCAGTATTTTATCTTTAGCAGTGAAATAGCTTAGTCAAGTCAATCTAATTAGACTGCTGAATGAGTTTGATTTTAAAAATTAAGTGTGCAGAATATTTTTCTCTCAATACTTATATTTGTGGGCATTCAGTAAAACTAGCCTTTTATATCTTACCTTGTTTTAGAGGGATTTTTATTTTATTTATAAACTACATGAAACCTTTTCTGAGAAGTAGGCTGGGTGTGTAAATAATGTCTGAATTCATTTGCATTTTCAGTATGTTTCAATTTAATTGGAAAAAATCAGCTTTTGGCTTAGCATTTCATTTTAAAATACTGTTTTTAGACTCTCTTAGTTACATTTGGGCTGTCAGTAAATTAAGAGTAAAGATGAAATAGACACTAATTTCTGCCTTAAACATGGGAAGAAAAAAAATAGATTTTGTATCACTTCTTTATAGGTGAAAAGGAAACTGTTGCCTATTTCTGTGCCCATTTCGAAGAACAACTGAAAATTTACAAAAAACAGGTGGGCTTTGATCTGCAGTAATAAGTGTTCCTACATATTTAGAAATGACTATGTATCTGTTTCTTTAAATTTCATGAAAATAACAATGTGCAGTTCTTAAGCAAAATGGCATTTGTAATGAAGTTAAAAAAACACATATAAACTAAGAGTATTGTTAATATTTGTTAATAATTATCATTGAGTCAGCTACTTTAGACTGTTCTTGGATAGGAGGTTATTCTACAGTCAATAATTAACAGTCTAAGAAGTATCTAGAATAACAAATGAAAGGCCTCTCTTAGTACCACCTGTAGTTGTACCTTCCTAAGATAATTCTGTGTGTATCTTTCAATATGTTTTTTAATCTGTTCCCCTTTCATATGTATTCATGCACGCATATACTGGAATGTGATCATACAAACTAAAATCACTTGAAAACTGTTATATAACATTGATGACCAGATTTCAGATTCAAGATTAAAATGTAACAGTAACTCTTATTCATTAGCAGTGATCAGTCTCAATGCCATGTGGTGCATTTTTCTAGCAGCAACAAAAATAAAATAGGAAAAATTAACCTAAAATCTAATAAATGTGCATGTGCAGAGTAGAAAAAAGAATCACTGATGAACACAAAATAAACATGAATAAATGGAGAGAAAATACTATGTTCCTAGAAGATTTATTACTGAATATATTTCAGTTCTTCCAAAATTAATGTATAAGTTTTGTGCAACTCCAAAGAAAGTTCCATCAGGGAAATAAAAAGCAAACCCTCAGATTGAAAGAAGTTATGAAATCTGGTAATAAGAAATAAAGGCAGGTATTTGGGAAAATGAGAAATCACATATTGGTAAAAGCAACCTAAGTTGGTTCAACCATTTTGAATGGTGTTTTCAATCAGAATAAAATATGTGTATATGATTTCTTATATCTAGCCTATATATCATGTAAAAATCAGATCCAGATAGATATGAATGTGAAAAATTAATCTTTTAAAGGAAAATACAGAACATTTTTGACCTTGGGTCTGTAACAGGACTTAAACACTAGTCATAATATAAAAATTTATAAGTTTGGGCCTCCCCTGGTGGCGCAGCAGTTGAGTGCTGGGTTGTGAGGCTGCCCACAGCCTCTGTAGCGCCGGTTCAATCCCCGGCCACCGGCGAGGGTTCCACAAAAAAAAAAAATATAATAAAGATTCTTTAAAAAAAAAAAAAATTATAAGTTTGACTATTATTAACTCATTATTTATTGAAACTATTAAATCATAGGTATTTAAAATATTAAAATAGTATAAATGTAAATATTTCTTAAAACTTTATTAAAATAGGATTAATAAAGCACCGCCCATAATGAAAATTTTGACAGATTTCACTTTATTAAGGTAAAGAACTTCTATTCATTAAAGACTGCATTAAAAGGATGAAAAGGCAATTCACAAAGGGGAAGAAGATATTTAAGTTTTTTCAGTACAGATACATGAGAAAAGCCTCATATGTCAGGTGTTTTTTAAACTTTAAAAATTCATAAAGAGGGCCTCCCTGGTGGTGCAGCAGGTTGAGCGCAGCACTGTGAAACTGTCCACAGCCTCTGCAGCACAGGTTTGTTTCCCGGCTGGTCAGGGAGAAACCCACATAGTGCGGCAGTTTTCTCCTGCCTCGCCCACTGCTTCCCTCAACAGTGTCTTTGGTCTGTCTGCCTGTTCTGCTCCCCACTCTCACTGGTGAGTTATCTCGCCCTCCTGCACCTCTGACCTGTACCCCAGTTCTTGTATAAATAAATAAATCTTTTAAAAAAACTAAAAATTCATAAAGAGAAGGAACCCAGCGCCTCCCTGGTGGCGCAAGGGGTTAAGCACTATGAAGCTATCTGCAGTCACTGCAGCACGAGTTCGATCCCCGGCCAGGGAGCTGACCCACATGGTGCAGCAGACCTCTCCTGTCTTGCCTGCTGCTCCCCTCAGCAGTGTATTTCAGTAGATCCTCCTGTTCTGCTCCCCACTCTGTCTCTGGTAAATCTTCTCACATACCACACACCCTCCCAGCTCTTGTATGTATAAATAAATAAAATAAAAAAATTTTTTTAAAAGAGAAAGAACCCAGAAACTGAGCAACAAGCACACTCTATGTGAAAAATGTTATCCAGAAGTCCAATAATCATATGAAAAGGTGCTGTACCTCATTCACCATCTGGAAAATGCAAACTAACCACCACCACTCACCAGAATTGCTACAGTTTGAAAAGGAGGGGGGAGTCCTAAGTTTTGTTAAACATGTGGAGTAACTGGCACTCTAATACAAAAAATTTTTTAATCTACCTTAGAGAAAATGTGTTCAATCAAGTAGGCATGTATAAGAACATTTGTTGTGGCATGAAAGTAACCTGTTCATCAGGTCAGTGGGTAAAATATGCACAGATAAAATGATAAATGCAAATGCTTAAAAATGATGAGGCAAATCTGTGTGTGCTAACATGAAGAGATCTTAAAATCACAGGTTAGAAAAGAAACAGCCTAACTCTAGATGGTATATTACCATTTAAAAGTCCTATAAAATAGCCATTTACATGTATTTCTCTGCCATCTATATATGTTCTCACACATACATATCTGGCACATTTATACAGGAATGCATTTAGGTGGACTGAAACACAAGGTCCACACCTAATATGTAATGGGGGGTTACCTCCAAAGATGCCTGTGCGTGGTCAGAGGCTTTAACCTTTATTCCTGTTTGACTTTTTTAATATGAATAAATTCATGTATTAGTAATATGTATAATTATAAAGAACATTATAGAGAAGAAATCAAAGTAAGTGTAAAACCTAATCACTGTAAAAATTGAAGCAATACCGAGGTATGTAAAGGAAGCAGAGCAAATATAACTTCACCACTCTCATCCTTGCTCCCTGTTGACTTTAAGACCTGTTTGTACGCATCAACTTTATAGGTGTATGTATTGAACAGGTATTTCCTCGTTTCTAACAGTAGCCCAGCAGTGCTTGTTTTTCTGCTCTAGTCCCCTAGGTGACTGCTCTACAGGAGGTGGGCCCACGGTGGTCTGACTCAGACCTGGTGGCACCACTGTTGTTCTTGCCAGTGATTGGTTTAGGCACGGCCTGTGCATGATCATTGGCAAATCAGCCAGTGAGGTATGATGTGAGGAGTAGTCAGCTGGGAGGCCTCTGGGAAAGAGTCTCCTGCTCTAATAAAAAGAGATGCAGGCACCAGCAGTCTCCCGTGGTTGTGTCTGCATTTGATGAGGTACTGCTGCAGTTGTCAAGTAAATGAACTAACCAGAGGACTGACATTCGCCGAGGATGGCGGAGCAAAAAAATAGGAAAAAAAGGGCATTTGTAACTATCATTAAGCAGTTCTGGAACCATGCAAACTCCAGACCTCTTGTTTTGAGATTTAAGTCAGAGATTTTATACACCATTACAAATTTATGTCAGCAGCAGGTCACACCATATACATTTTTCTGTAATTGTTCTTACTTCATATCTCATAGTGAGTCTTTAACCATTTCTCCCTTGGCAGGCCTTTAGGATACTTGGAGTTGGAGGAGTGAAACATTATTTTTTTATTGAGGTGACATTGGTTTATAACACTGATTATGTTTTAGAGGTGTAGAATCTCCCCCTTCAGGTGTTGTGAAATCTTACCAAACCACTGGGAAAATATATCACAGCCTTGAAACAGCAAACAGGCAGGTTATGTTATTTCAAGCAATAAGTTGGTTTAAAAAAAAAAAAAAAAAGGTCCTTATCAAAATACTGAGATGCCAGAGCTGGAACAGGAACACTGCAGGATGTAGACTCCCTGCCCCCACCTCTGCAAGGTGATGCTTGGTAATGGGACTGCTCTGAAGCTGTCACAGCTAGAATATCATTTGTACTATTATAAAAATGCTCAGAAAGCATCCTTCTTTGGGGGCTCTTGTGTTTTATAGAATAAATTTGTACAATTGAAATGGATGGCTCCAATAGTATATGTATTTAAAGTTGGTACCTAACTCTGTTTCTCCCAAAAAGCTCACACCAATTTACATTCAGCAATAGCCAGAGCCAGAGCCCTCTTCCACACACAACCATCAACGCTGCCTACACTAAATTTATTCAATGTTTGTCTATGTACGTGTAAAAGCTAGTTTTGTTTAAAACTTAAATTTCTTTATTTAACAAAGTTACAGACTCATGTCTATTGACATATTTTCTCTTGGGAATTTCCTATGTATCCTTGACCCATTTTTCTCTTCCTGAATTTATAGCATCTTTATAGTATAAGATCAATATTTTATAACATAATACAAAACCAATAATACTATACTATTTTATTGGTTTTTATGTTACGGGTCTATTCCCCTAGGTAATCTATTGTTGTTTTGATTTTTACCTTTGGTTATACAGAGCTTTTACATTTTCATATTGTCATATCTGTCCATCTTCTTCTTTATGCCTCTGTTTTGTTTTTTTATGTTATCCTTAGAGAGTTAGCTACCATCCTACAAAAGTAGAAATATCAGCCCAATTTTCTTCTAGCATTTTTATAACATAAAGAAAAATTATTTAGATCATTAATGCATCTAGAATTTATTTTGTATGTAATAAGATGTAAGAAGCTATAGTAACTTTTCCCTTTGCATATATAGTTATCTCTATGGCACTTATAGAATAGTCTGTAGATGCCCCAGAATTAAGAGTATTATCCTATGATAAGTCCCTCAGGATATACAGGTCTGTCTCTAGGCCACCTGTCCTGTTCTACTGAGTCATTCATATAGTCCTACATTGATACCACATTTCAATTGCTATAGATTATATTCTCCTTTACTCTTCATTTTCAAAAATTTTCTCAAATTAATTCTTCCAGATGGACTTAGAATTAATTTGTCAAGTCCATAGAAAGATACTGGTTGCCTTTTGACTTGTGTTATTGAGTTTATAGATTAATCTGGGGAGAATTGACATCTATACAATTCTAATTAGTTATTACACATGTATAGTTTATTAAAAAGCTTTAATGCCATTGATATAAATAAGTCTCATAAACCTATATATAACAAAGAAAAATCTAATTTAAAGGGGGGAAAACCAATGCTTGAGTGGATTAATGCCCCAGTATGACTAAATATTTCTAGAACATAATTCCAGACAAATCATTAAAAATCACATAATTCTAACATCTGACTAACTGAATTATTTCTTTTTCTTTGCTCTCCTAGGTTATTATTAACTTGGTAGACCAGGCAGGAAGAGAGAAAATTATTGGCGATGCTTATCTGAAGCAAGTGTTGCTCTTTAACAACCCACAACTTACTTATGTTTCATTTGACTTCCACGAGCACTGGTAAGATGGCTTCCTGAAGGAGATTTGATCAGTTCCAGTGTTTGCACTAGAAGCTGCTACAGGAACCTAAGTTTCTCTTTATTGGGAAGAAAATTTTCTTCTAATTATTAGAAAGGGAAGGAGCATCATTTGTTTACATACTTTTAATATTCATATGGATTTTATTTTGGCTAGAAAGTTACATTCTTTTTCTTGAAATAGTCACAATCTTTCTGTTCCAAATACCTGGTAGAGTTCTGCTTTTCCTTTTATTGATCAGTTATAAAAGAACTTTGGAGCTCTTCTTTCCTGCTTGAGTTTGAGACTGGCAGAAATAAGAGTCGCCTTACTTAAAATATCCTGCTGGTTCATCTTCATGCTTTACTAGTAGTACTTCTTTCCCTGTGGATAAACTTCACTAATGTTTGTTCTGGAAAAAACATTCAGTGAATTGTTTAGGTATCGTGTGCATTCTGAAAGTAAGGTTCTTTTGTCATAATCCTGGCTCTTAAACCTGGATTAGTTTACCCAAGTATTGAAAATTTGGTGAGGAAAGAAGCTTCTGAGAAACCTGTGTTATGTTTCAATGTATTCTTAAGTATATTTTCTTTTACAGTGCAGATTAATTAAAACATTTTTATAATTGCCAATATAATTTATAGTGGTATTAACGTCATGTACTTATAGTAATCATTGTAAGACATTTTTCTAAATGGCTTAAATATATCTTAAGTTTAAACTAAAGATATTTAGTGTAAATATTTAGTCTATTAATATCTCATTAAAGATATTTTCTCTTTTTTTGGCATGTATTTTAGCCGAGGAATGAAGTTCGAGAATGTTCAAACACTGACAGATGCCATTTATGACATTATTCTTGACATGAAGTGGTGTTGGTAGGTATTTTGTATGTGAAATCAGATGTTTTTGTCAAGTACCACAAAGTGTTCAAATAATCGCAGCAAGCAGAGAAAGAATTTTCCTGTTGGGAACATTTCCTATTCTCCTTTTCAAGAGAATGTTAGTTGTTGACAATGTTAACTTTGAACAGGGAAAAGGTGTCAGATGTTGGGGCAAAACAGTGAAATGCTCTGTGACTATTCTTTAATTCCTTCTAATGCTCCACAGTCTATATTTCCTCTTTCTTCTCTGCCTCATCACCCTTAACATGGAAGGAGGGCTTAGAGGTCTTTAAGCTTTCAGACATTTCATTTCAAGATTATCAGAGAAAGAAGATGATTCCTCACTGGTTAGTAAAGTGACTCTGTTCTAGCTCATTCAGATGCATTTCTTCATGGAGTCACAAGGAGGGGCAGGGTAATTTTTAATGTACAGCAAAGCATAACCTGGGATGTGTGATATCTGCCTAGTCCTTGCCCTCTGTACTTAGCACAGATCACTCTTTCTGCCCTTTGGTGGGTTTTTTTCCCCCAAAATGGAGATTATGTCTTTCTTAACAAGTAATTGTAGAAGTTAACTGGCTAAAAAGGCCTCACTAATGCCTGCCACATAATAATATTCAAGCAAATTCATAATTGATGCTGTTGTTATTGTTATACTTTAAAGAATTTTCTCAGAAACATCTTAGAGTACTTATATCGTAAAATAATCTCATATTGTTTTTGAAAAGGGTTGATCAGGCTGGGGTAATATGTAAACAGGAAGGGATTTTCCGCGTGAACTGCATGGACTGCCTGGACCGCACCAACGTGGTCCAAGCCGCTATCGCCCGAGTGGTCATGGAGCAGCAGGTAATTCGTCTAATCTGTTGGACAGTAAATATTCATTAAAAAAAATTTTTTTTCACATGTAAACAAAAACTAAAGTCTTAGGCAGGTAGAACATTTACAGCGTGCAACCATTTTGTTGCCTTACAACCTAGGAAGCACAAACTTCACTAGAAATAAGTTGACTCAAATGGCATTTTCTTAAATACTCTTTAAACCATGAGACCCAACATTTTAAACTGTATTGAGTGGCACTGTGTGGTTATTTACCTGTTTTTTTCTGTCCGCTCCAAATCCTGCCTCTGTATTGGGAACCACAGTTGGCTTGCACCTGCCCATGTCAGTCTCTGCTAATAGGGGCACTAAAGGAAGACCATAGTGCTGGAGAGATGGGGCAGGCCAAGCTCTGTCACCTGTCAGCAACCCCTTCTCTGGACTGTTGGTTCCATTGGCACAACAGACTCAGTTTCTTTCCTTTGTGCCCCAGCCCTTGTTATGGCCTCTGCTTTCTGCAGTTATTATATCTGTTATGTCCACTGTTAACCTCAGTGCCCCCTTTTAGACCCTTCCACCTGCACCTGATGGAAATTGCTAGCATCATTTTATTTTTATGAACATTTGAGGATGTGAGTCTTTTCCTTCTAATGTAGCATGTAAGCATCCAGACTTTTGAGTTCAAGCCCAGGCTCTGTCACATACTAGCTGTTGAATCCATGTAAAGAATCAGTCTCTCTAAACTTTTGACTCTTCATTTTCGAAATGAGGGTGATAAGAGTATTGATAGCAAAGGGTTATTGTGAGATGTAAATGAAATAATGTAAAAAAAAATCCCTTAGAACCCTAGTCTTGGCACAGAGGTAACATTTATTGGGCATTGATTGCTCTGCCACTATTGTTGTTTCTGTGGTTTTTTTTTTTTATATTTTTACTTCATGTGCAAATTTAAAATAGACAAATATGAGCTTACGTATTGAAAAGTATAACACAATGGTATAAATATTTCATTCTGTTGAACTGTAGCAATTCATAAAGTCTCTTATATGGTACTTTATTTTGAGAAAGTGTGAAAACACTGTTTCTTTTATTTAAGGACCCTAAATTGTTTATAAACTTGTTCCTTTCTCTGTAACATATGTCTTATGCTATCATTTCCTGATTTAAATGTAGTTACCCACTAATGTGTTGATTTTAGCTGAAGAAATTAGGTGTGATGCCCCCAGAGCAGCCATTACCAGTGAAATGCAATCGGATCTATCAGATAATGTGGGCTAACAATGGTGACTCCATCAGCAGACAGTACGCTGGGACAGCTGCTCTGAAGGTAAGGACGAGCTTGTATAGGTCGTCCTCTAGTACATAGAATGTGGTTTAAAACCAACTTTGTTTTCGAGAGAAAGGTAAGTGAACTACAGTTGGTAGGTCTATGTCCTTAAGTTTAAGGACACAATGGCTAAAGAAAATGGGGTGTGTGTGTGTGTGTGTGTGTGTGATGGAATATTACTCAGCAGAAAAAGAAAAGGAAATCCTGCCATTTGCAATAGCATGGATGTGTAAGTGAAATATGCTAGGTGGAGAAAGGCAAATACTGTATCTCACTTGCATGTGGAATCTAAAAGCGTCAAACTCATTGAAACAGAGATGGGGAAAATGGGGAAGGGTTGGTCAGTGAGTATAAGTTTTCAGTTATAAAATGAATTAATTCTGGAGACATAATATATAGCATGGTGACTATAGTTTACAATACCATATTGTAAAGTTGAAATTTGCTGAGAGTAGATATTAAATGTTCATATATACACAATAAAGGGAATTATGTGAGGCGATGGATGTGTTAACTAAATATCATTTCACTATATATATATCAAATCATATGTACACTTTTAACTTAGTGCTTCTTGTCCATTATATCTCCATAAAGCTGGGAGGAAACAGAAATACTTCTCATTACTTCTGATACTAAACTTCTTTGGACTCAGCAATCATGTGTCTCTTTCCTGTAATAGTCTTGTTGCTATATTAATAATTTCTGTGAATGACCTAATTTACAGCATGTGCTTCCTGAATTGTTTTTTGGGAAAAGACCGTTGCTGAGATTTTTCTTGGATAGAAATAGTGGAGTTGGGATGGGGGAAAAAAAAGAACTATGCTTTAAATCACTATCTCTCTAAGGACTTTTACTGACACTTTTGTGAAAACTAAGGGAAAAAAAAAAAACAATTTAAATCTGGGATCATGTGAAGTGAGAAATGGAAACCACTGCTGTCTCTGGGTACATGAAGCATATCCACATGCCTTGGTGAAATCCCATTGTTGAGATCTCAGAGGACCTATTCACATTTTCCCACATCAGAAATTTGTGGTTGTTTTTTTTTTTTTTTTAAGATTTATTTATTTATACAAGCACTGGGTACAGTCAGAAGCGCGGGAGGGTGAGAGAATTCACCAGAGCCAGAGCGGGGAACAGAACAGGCAGACTGATGAAATACACTGCTGAGGGAAGCAGCGGGCAGCAGGAGAGGTCTGCGCACCATGTGGGACCCTCCCCAGTGGCCGGGGATTGAACCAGAGCTGGAGGCTGCGGGCAGCTTTGCAGCCCAGCGCTGAACCGCTGCGCCACCAGGGGAGGCCCAATTTGTGGGTTTTGAATACCAGTTTATGGCTTGAAAAATCTTGTGGCTGTTTTGTTTGTTATATTATAGTTTTTGGCCTGTAAGTTCTAGAAATTCTATGATTGCCAAGAATGGCTTTACTTTAAAGGATCATTAAACTGTGAAGACTTGATGCCACAAATAGCATGTTTCTTTATTTGAATGCTTGGGTCAGAGTCAACCCCTAGTAGATATTTTAACTATATTACTTGGAAATTATGAAAGCAGAATTCCAGTCTTGAATTGAAAGTCTACATTGACTTGGGAATGCTCGTGTTTGAATTGTCAAAATGACTTTTTTACTTGACAGGGTGACTTTACAAGGACAGGAGAAAGGAAGTTAGCAGGCGTTATGAAAGATGGTGTTAACTCGGCAAATAGGTATTACCTGAATAGATTTAAGGATGCTTATAGGCAAGCTGTTATAGGTAAGGAACATAAATGACTTTCTTTAAATGTGTTATTCTTTCTGTGACTAACATTTTATAGAAACCAATGTTATTAACATAGTTTATATGTTTTATACTATAATACTATATGTTTTATACATTTATACTATATGTTTTATACTATAGTGTGTTTATTCTGAACATCTTACCCAATAAGTCAAACTCACATTTTCACAAGATTAAAATTTGACAACTATTGTAGACTGGAGCAAGAAAAGAAACCACAGATTTCCACATGCACTTGTCAGTTTGCTACTCATGTAACAGAAGGTAGGTTGAGGCACCTAGAGTATAGATTAGGGTGACTAAAACCTTATTAGCTGAAAACTCTACATTCTGTTTTTCTATCACTCAAGTCTTAGAGTAATATACCTTTCCTGGAACCATGACTTAATAGGCCATAAATTCTTGGCATTATGATGAAGAGGAAATGGAGTCTACATTGTCCAGTGAAATTCATGCCTTAACATGTTTCTTTATTTGAATGCTTGGGTCAGAGTCATGACCTGACTCTGACCTTAGCCTTAGCATGAATTTTAATTTAATTTTCAGGAAAGTATTACCTTACAGGATTGAAGTAAATGTTGAGTGTTTCTGATTAAACTAAATGTAAGAGTTTGTCTTAATGGTCTCTCTGAATATTTTTTAAGTCCTATTTTTAAACTAGTAATCATGTACTGTTTCACTCATGAAATACTGGCACCTAGACACCAGTTCGTTAGTATCTGAGAAGACTGGTGTAAAGAAGTTTAGTTCATTTGCCATGGGCAGGGTGCATGATAACTGGAATTTAGGCTTTAGCAGTTTATTTGAGAAAAAATAGATACCTTTCTCCTACTGGTTGATCTGCCAACTCAGCTATGTAATTGAGTTCTAGGTTCTGTCCTCTCAATTCAAGATCATATCAGCTCATCCTAATCTTGAAGCTGGCTGGGTCTCTTGAAGGTTGAGCAAAAAAGGGCCAGCAGCAGCCTGGATGTATTGCTTCTCTTGCAGGGCCTCTTTTCCCAGAAGCTGCCTCCAGTCTTGTCCCAAACAACTAGAGGGAAAGGGATTATAATGACTTACTAAGGCTTGAGCTACCCACCATACCAGAAAGAAGTTAGCCTATTTAGGTCTTTTACTCCATTTTAAAATTGGTTATTTGACTGTGGATTACTGAATTTTTTGTGAAACCTTATCAAGTAGGGACTTATATCCAATATATTCTGCAGAAGAGTATATTCTGTCAGTTCTATAGACTATATATTCTGTAGAAGAATATGAACTCTCCCGTTCTGTGGGTTGTCTTTTCACGTTCAAGGCATTGTCCTTTGAAACACAAATTTTTTTTATAATTTTGATAATGTCCAGTTTGTCTACTTTTTTCTTTTGTTGCTTGTGATTTTGACCTCACTAATATCGCAAAGATTTATGCCTGTGTTTTCATGTGAGTTTTATGGTTTTACGTTCCCCCCTTTTCTTAAAGTGTATTAGTAACTAAGATGATGATAGATATTAACACTTTCTACTCTAGATTTGATGCAAGGCATTCCAGTGACAGAAGATCTTTATTCCATATTTACCAAGGAGAAAGAGCATGAAGCTTTGCATAAGGAAAATCAAAGAAGCCACCAAGAACTAATAAGTCAGCTCTTACAAAGTTATATGAAGTTACTGCTGCCTGATAATGAAAAGTTCCATGGGGGCTGGGCCCTCATTGACTGTGACCCCAGGTGAGTTGAAATGTTGTCTTGGTTACCTCTATGCTTACATTTCTCATGTTGGTAAGTTGTAGTTAACACTAGCAGTTGTCTGTAAGTCTGAGGCCATGGGTGCATTCTGCACGGCAGTCTTCAGATAAAGAACTGGGACTGAGGCACTTGCCTTGGACCAAAATTGAAGAGGCACTAAAAAAACTCAGTAATGAAGAGAAATATTTTAATGTAATATTCAATTAAAAAAACAAATTGAAAACCATTTGTAGCCAGCTATGTGGGTTTCCCCTTACCACCATCCAGCATCTAGATTTTTTTGTATTAGCACACATAACTGAATGCAGCAAGAGGTGCAGTGATGCTAGTTATTTTGATTAGTTGGTAAAAAGGTCCTGGCCTTTCATAAAATAGGTCAACTAAAGCTTAACATGTTTTGTTTTTGTTTTTGTTTTTGTTTTTTTTTAAGATTTATTTATTTATACAAGCACTGGGTACAGTCAGAAGCGCAGGAGGGTGAGAGAATTCACCAGAGCCAGAGCGGGGAACAGAACAGGCAGACCGACGAGGTACACTGCTGAGGGGAGCAGTGGGCGGCAGGAGAGGTCTGCGCGCCGTGTGGGACCCTCTCCCGGCGGCCGGGGATCGAACCAGTGCTGCAGAGTCTGTGGGCAGCTTCACAGCCCAGCACTCAACTGCCGCGCCACCAGGGGAGGCCCAACTTTTTTTTTTTTTAACCAAAACCATCAAGTTTCAAGAGCTTCTTCAAAATATCAATGAATGGCAGGATCTAAATTTATCAGATTGTATACTTTTAGATTGAAATCTAAAATTAAGATCTTCAATAATGTGAATCAAAAACATTTCAGAAAATATTAGGCCAACTTCTGAGGATAAAAGGCTCTAGATTTTATCTTATTTTATATTTCATAGGTTTTTAATGAAAGGAACATAAATCAAGCTTGAAAGAACAATTGAATGCAAAGTAGTCATTCCATTACATATATTCATTACATACATTAAAATTAGTGATTGTAGGCTTATAAAGATGCCTTCTATGACTTTAATTTCATGTATTATTTTGCTTTGATAGTCAATACTATATGTATGGATGCAATTTACAGACTCTTAAGGGATGAGTTTTTCCTTACATACGACTTATCAGAAATTCTCTTTTTCATGTACCCTGGTTGGAATTTTTAAAATAATAGTACTCCAACTAAATGCAGCATCATCAACAAAAAAGGGCAAATTCCTATTCAAAAATAACTGTAGGTGGTACACCTCCATTTTGCTCCAGTTTTAACTCTGTATTTTAATTTTTAAAAAAAAAAATTATGCATACAAGAACTGGAGTATAGCCCAGAGGTGCGGGAGGTGAGAGGATTCACCAGAGATAGAGTGGGAACCAGAACAGGCAGATCTACTGAAACACACTGCTGAGGGGAGCAGCAGGTGAGTCAGGAGAGGTCTGCTGTGCCATGTGGGTTCCTCCCTGGCCGGGGATCAAACTCGTGCTGCAGTGGCTGCAGACAGCTTCATAGGTTGCGTCTTAACTCCTTGCACCACCAGGGAGGCCCTGAGTTATTTTAATTTTTTAAAGGTGAGATGATCAATATTTTCCTTAGATTGAGTATTTTTATTTCTCCTTTAGAGATAATTGAAATAGGGGAAGGCCAAAAGGTTTACTTCTAAATACTGTTTTGTAAGGTCACACTGTTTCTGATTTATAGTCCTGCAATTCTTGCGGAGAGATGGTATCTTGAATTAGGAATTAAAAAAAAAAAATGAAAAGTGTGTTTAGCTGTGCCATTTAAAGCTTGCAACAAAACTTGGGTGATCATAAACTTGGGACACTGATGCTGAAGATTGTCTCATCGACCCAGTATTCATTGGCTGAGGTGCTGCCTTCCGTTCTGTTGGTGGCTGCCAAAGCCAGAGCCTGGAGGGAGGTTCTCTGTGTGTTGATGCTGCAGCATGACATAGACTTGGGTCTGAGATGGCGGGCGTGCCATTGCTGACCCGGACAACAGGAGTGTCTGAACTATTGGTGCTTCTGCTCCAGTGCCTCTAAGTCCAAACCCCTAACGTCAACTGCACCTCTCAAAGGAGCCCATTAATGTCATTAATTAATGACATTAATTCTTTTTTTTTTTTTTAAAGATTTATTTATATTTATTTATTTATACAAGCACTGGGTACAGTCAGAAGCGCGGGAGGGTGAGAGAATTCACCAGAGCCAGAGCGGGGAGCAGAGCAGGCAGAAGGACCGAAGTACACTGCTGAGGGGAGCGGCGGGCGGCAGGAGAGGTCTGCGCGCCATGTGGGACCCTCCTCCGGTGGCCAGGGAGCAGCCGGGGATTGAACCGGCGCTGCAGAGGCTGCAGGCAGCTTCGCAACCCAGCGCTCAACCTCTGCGCCACTGGGGAGGCCCAATGACATTAATTCTTATGAGAAGGGAAGGGCGGTGACCACCACAGGCTTGCGGAATTTGTCTGTGGTGACCAGGACCAAGTGCTCAGCTTTGAGACTCTCTGCTTTGGTCTCCTCTTAGGTTGACCACACCAGAAGTGGTTGCATCTGACAGTGGTGGAGGCATTAACTGCTGCTTGCCGCTTGTAAGGTTTCCTACTGTTACCGTTTTGTTAGAAACCACCTTCTTGAAGCTTTGAGTCATAATGACATGAAGTAGAGAGTGAAGCTGACTTCACAGGCCATGCTTGACTTTTTGGCTGGGGTAGAGGCCGAGGCTGGCCTGCCAGGAGTGCCAGTATCTTTGTTTTAATAGAGGCACTTCACCACTTTGTGGCTGATGACCGTGTGGGCTCCTTTGAGAGGTACAGTTGACTTAGGTTAGGGGTGTGGACTTAGAGGCGCTGGAGCAAAAGCACCAATAGTTCACAGTGATCTTCAGTCTCCTCTTCTGCCTGTTCTTCCAGAGGAGCTTTTTCAGATAGAGAACTGTGGCCTTCGTATTTCACTGCATTCTTTGGTGGATTGTTCTCTGATAAGTGTCCTGTGCCCATTTGACTTTCCAAAGTTAAATTTCTCTCTATCTTGAGTAGACAATTAAGGACGCTTACTAATTCTTCTCTACTTTGTCTTGTGGATATGCTTTCTGATACTGCCAAGATTTGTCACTGGCATTTTTCCTCATTGCAAGGCTTAAAGATTTTCCAGATGGTGGATAGTTTTCTCTTTCTCTTGAAGGGAGAGGTCTGGAAACCTGTTCTTGCACCGACTTTGGTCTAGACGTTGTACAGTCTATCAACTGAATTAGGGACATTGACCTGAAGCAGGACAGTGTGAGGTCCCTCTGGGAATTTCTGCAAGAGCACAGGTCTCAGCCCGCCAGCTGGCTTTGGACCTCAGACTTGAGGGCTTCAGCAGTGGAACCACTCCCCTGGTTTTTATAAAAATCTTTATTGAGATAGACATCATGCCATACAATTGACCCATTTCAAGTGTGCAAATCTGAATATTCAGAGCTGTTCAGCCCTCACCACAGTCAATTTTAGAACGTTCCCATCAATCACAGCAAGAAGCCCCATACCCTGTAGTTGTCACACCCATGCCCCCCTGGATCTCCAGGCCTGTGCAACTGCTGATCTACTGCTTTCTCTGGATGTGCCCATTCTGGACATTTCCTGTAAAATCCTGCAATATGTTGGCCTTTGTGCCTGGCTTTGTTCACTTTGCATAATGTTTTCAGGGTTCATGCTTATGGCAGGTAGAAGACCTTCACTGCTTTTTATAGCTAAACAGTACTCCAGTGTATGCGTGTACCACATCCTGTTTCTCCAGCCTTCCACTGGTGAGCATTTAGGGAGTGTCTGCCTTCTGGCTCTTGTACAGAACGATGCTATGAAAACTGTAATTTTTTTTGTTTGTTTGTTTTTGAACATGTTTTTATTTTGGGAATATACCTGGGAATGGAAGTATCCACTCGTGCTTCTTCCATGTTAACGTTTGAGAAACCACCAGACTGTTTCCACAGAAGCTGCACCATTTTGCATTTCTTACTAGCAGTGCATGAGGGTTCCAGGCTTCCCACGGGCTCCCCAGCACTGGCCGTGTCCTCCTTCAGCCGTGTCGTCCTCGCGGGAGTGAAGTGGCCTCTCCTGGTTTTGATTTGCATTTCTCTAGTGACAAACGATGCTGCCGATTTGCTCTTGCGTGCATCGGCCATTTGTGTATCTTCCTTAGGAAAATGCCTATTGAAATCCCCTGCCCGCTTTTTAATGTCGGGCTGCCGTGTGGCTTTTGTGTTGAGTTGGGCCTCGTTTGTTTTTGTAAATAGATTTCTGCAGAGACCAGGGCTGGGCTGAGAGTGTGGCGAGGGAAACAGGGTTGCACAAGAGCAGGACTGGAGGCTGTCTTTATTTAAAATGTTGTTTTGTTCATATGGTTGCATTGCTTTTGACTTTTCAAGAAGCCGCCCTACAAACACCCTGACGGCCGGGCTTGGGGGTGCACCGCGGCCGAAGCCTCCGCGGCAGGCGGCGCGGCACGCAGGGAGCCCGCGGCCGTGGGGCCGGCCGGGCCGGGCGCAGCGCCCCGCTCTGTCGCCACGTGCGGCCCCCTCCTCGGGGCGGATCGCCTGCGCCCTGTCCAGCACCCGGGCGAGCACTGGGGGGGCCGTGGGGCGGCCGGCGGGGCTGCCGCAGCCCCGACTCCCGAGGGAGGCCGCAGCACCCGCCTCGCCCTGCAGGGGGCGCCCGCCGAGGCCGGCCGCGCATGCGCCTTGGCCGCGCCGCAGCGGAAGTGGGCGGGGCGGGGGCGGGGCCTCGCGGCGGGGCGGGGCCTGCGCGGCTGCAGTCCCGCAGTGCTGCGGCGGGAGTCGGGGCGGCTGGCGGCTGCGCCTCGAGCCCTCGACAGACGGACGGACGGACGGACGGACGCTCGCCATGCCGCGCTCGCACCGGCCCCCGCCCGCCGCCCCGCGGGCCGCCGACGCCGCGGGCCCCGCCGCGGAGCCCAAGCCCGAGGGCAACAGCCTGGCCACCACCTTCAAGATCTTCCTGCTGTTCGCGGGGCTCATGGTGAAGGTGCCCGTGGGGCTGTACTTCTCCTGCAAGCTGCTGCTCTTCCAGAGCCTGCTGCTCATGTCCCCCGACGACAGCGGCTTCTACGCCACGGTCGTGGCGGTGGCCGGGCTGCACGTGGTGCTCGCGGTGTTCGTGCTCGTGGCCTGGCGCGAGGGGCTGCCCGGCTGGGGCGACGACAAGAGCGAGTAGCGGGGGGCGCGGGGCGCGGGGGGCGGGCGGGCGCGGGGGGCGGGGGGGGGCCGCGGCGGGGGCCGCGGCGCCGACGGGGCGGGGGGCGCTCTCCGGACCGAGTGCCGCGGGGCCGCGGCCGCCCCGGGGGCGAGTGTTTCGTGCTAAAATGTGTCGTGACGTCCACTCTGCGGCTGGGCTGCGGCGGCCGGCGGCGGACTCGTGAGTACGGGGGCCCTGGGGGGTCTAGAGGGGCTGGGGGCCCTGCGTCTGCGCTGTCCCCCCGCGGCTGGGGGCGCTGGGGATACTGGGGGGGCTCTGGGGGGCGGGGGGCCTTGCGTCTGGCCCGTCCCCCGCGGCTGGGGGCGCTGGGGGTACTGGGGGGGCCCTGGAGGGCGAGGGGCCCTGCGTCTGCGCTGTCCCCCCGCGGCTGGGGGCGCTGGGGATACTGGGGGGGCTCTGGGGGGCGGGGGGCCCTGCATCTGGCCTGTCCCCCCGCGGCTGGGGGCGCTGGGGGGGCGGTCCCGGCTGTCCGCAGCGGTGACCTCATTCCCCGCAGTGAGGACGTGACTGCCCCCCGCGCCCCCCCCTTCCTTGCCAGTAGTATTTTGGTAAATCTTGGCAAAAAAGCATGAAATCCTAGAAATAAAGACCGTCTCTGTGGCATTTTGAGACCCACTTAGGGACGCGGGTTCATCTCCACCGTGATTGGAAAGATGATTAATACCCGATGCTTGTTAGTGCCGCGTTCCCGGCGGTGCCGTTACTTGTTGTTCATAGATTTTACATGTTGGCTGTTCTCTTACTGGTGGTTTTACAGGTGTTTTTTCTGTAGCTTTGATTTCAAGGTTCGTCCTTCTGTGTCGCATGTAATCCTTATGCTGATACTAGATTTTAGAATGGAAGGGAAAATAAGGCAAAACGAATTGAAAGAGAATTAGGATATATTGTTTGTCCTTCAAAGTCGGGTAATCTATGGTGAGGGAAATGCAGAGGAGCTGGGGCTTGGTTTTGGTTTTGCCCATAAATGTTATGTAAAAAATTACCCGATTTGTCAGAGGATGTGTTCTACATGAGCGTGAAAATACTGTAAATGAGCAGCGCCAATTTGCAGGTTATTTGGTGTGAGAGAGTCGAGATGGTTTCCTCTTTTCAGTCTGTTTTTATTTCCCATCCCTTGCCTTGGTCCTCGCTGACTCCACCCACCGTCTCTGCCCTTGGCTCCTCCTTGCTCCTGCGGCATGACCCCCTCCTTTCCCCCCTCTAGCCCCCCTAGATTTTTCCGCAGTCTCCCCCCGCCCAACCTCCATCTTTCTGAGAAGGGACCTCTGAGCAGCTCTGATTGGTCTAATAACACAAACGCCCTCTTTTATATTATTTTATTTTTAATTGCTAAATGGTAATCAAATGGCAATTACACATTTAACGTTAGCAAGACTCAAAATCGATTTTGCTCTGCCCCTCCCCCCCAGTCTTTTAAGTGGTTTGTCTGTGGAAATATGCTTGGCAGAAATGCAAATGAAAATATTTAATTCCCTGTCATGTTTGTTTAGCCTCATTGATGCTACTCACAGAGATGTGGATGTGCTGCTACTGCTTTCTAATGCTGCCTACTACGTCGCCTAGTAAGTTGCTTATTGATTTCAAGCATTTAATTGTTTTAAATTTGAATAAAATTTCCTTTTAAGAATCCACAAGAAATTTGCAAACTAGATCTATAAAGAACCTCATTGAACCCCTTAGTCCTCAATTTGAAATGTGATTTATAATCCATGTTTGATTTCAGCATTTGGTGTTAATATAGCTCCCAATTTTTGTTATATACAGTTAACTATCAATTCATACCATAAATACTGTGTTTTCAATAACTCTATTACCAGTGATACTATCACGAGTATGCTGTCCTGGTGAGAGAATCCTGTGTGCGCATGCGCACGCATTTCTCTGCAGTCACCTGGTTATGGTGAATGAATGATGACTTGTGGTTTATTGCCAAATTGATATCCAGCAAGACCACCAATTAAAAATGCCACTAGCAATACTTGTTCCTCGTAACCTTACTAGAAAATGAAGCTTTGTTTTTTTAAGTAAATATTTTCTTTCTGACTTTGTGTGAACCGTCATGTTTTGATCATTGTTTCAGGACCGGCCAGTGGGCATCGGTCATATGAGTTTTTCATTTCTGATGAAAAGCAGGTCTGTCTGCTTTCATCCACAAAGTTTCAGTGTATGTCTATTCCTTCCTTTCAGACAGATTTTAGGTTTGGTTTTTCTTTCATAAAAGGCTTTATAAAGCTGAAGTTTTGCTTTGTGACTGATTTATTCTTTTAATGTAAGATCTATAAACTGATTTTCCTTTAGCTTTTGAACTAATTATGTTAATTTTGTTTCATCTAGTTTTTAAAGTATTTAACTTTGACCCCAAAATGCATGGGCAGTGCACAAGCCAAATATATGTTTAATTCTTTTTATTCCCTCTCCCTTTATCTAGTTATGATGATGAAGTTGACAAAGTAAACCAGTATCAACGACTAAGTCTAGAAGACCTGGAAAAAATAGAGATAGGTAAGTTTTAACATATTAACCAAGCCACAGGAAGTAGATGCTATTTCTTCTAAGTATGGGCATATCTTAATAAAACCAGAAAGGAATATTCTAAGTACTTCTTGAGATTCCTTTAAAAAAAAAAAAAAGATTTATGCATACATGGAAGAATTGTTATATAAGCCAGAGTTGTGGGAGGTGAAAGGATTCACCAGACAGGGTGGAGAGCAGAACAGTCAAATCTATTAAAAAACACCTAAGGTGAGCAGCAGGTGAGACAGGAGAGTCTGCTGTGCCACATGTGGGTCAGTTCCCTGACCGGGGATTGAACTCAGGCCTTGGCAGTGATAGTGCTGAGACTAACCCCTCCGCCACCAGGGAGGCCCCAGATTTCCTTCTGTTCTTTAGAGATCAGTGATAGGTGTAGTTTAGTAACTGTATCCCTTTATCACCTTGTGAAGATAAACTCGGGGATCACAAAAGTTTAAATATTTGTGACTGAAAATTTAAGTATTTTTAGTTATAGTCTCATCAGGTCATCATTATCTTCTATTTTGTGTGTGCTCCTTTAGAATATGAAAAATAATGCAAAATATCTAACTGATGAATGTGCATCTTAAGGTTATCAAAGAAAGTAAATGTTATCTGAAAGATGTAACTTCACATATTCATTGGGTGTTTAGGTCCTGAGCCCACTCTTTTTGGAAAGCCGAAGTTCTCCTGTATGAGACTGCACTATAGATACAAAGAAACAAGTGGCTATTTCCACACTCTGAGAGCTGTGATGCGCAATCCAGAAGAGGATGGAAAAGGTAAGGATATTTAGTGAGTTTCAAAGTCTGCTTTTATCAGCCCAAATGGAATTGGGAACAGCACCATTGTCACCCAAATGATCCAGGGAAGTAGCTGTGATATGAGACCTGGAAATAGTGACTTTGTCCCACTAGTGGAGGGAGATTACTTGGGAATTCCCAAATTACTTGGGAATTTTGGCCAAGCTTTTCCCACCAACATAAGACTCTGTTCAAGGCCTTGACATCAAGAACAGTGTTTACACATACAAGAGTTAGAATAAACTTTCAATTCCAATTGATTATTTTTTAAATTTTATTGTAAAAATTTGTTCTGGAATATTTTGAATTAGAGAGCTAATGAGTAAGTTTTTGTGAAATGTACTAAACAAATCTGTCTTAAAATAGATTTCATGTAGGGTTTTGAGTTAGAATGCAGTTTTTTGCCAAGTGTTTGGAAATCTGGCAGAGCTATATTTGGGTTTCAGACACACTTCAGTGCATTGCTGAGATGCTGCAGATCACCAAGCAAGCCATGGGGCTGGACGTGCCTATAATTGAAAAGAGGCTGGAGAGGTGAGTACCCTTTTGATTTTCTCTCAAGAAGGAAGACCTGATTTGCATGTGAAGGAGAGAGCACATTATGATGCAATGTGTTGCTATTTAGAGAGAACAGTATCAAATTTCTATGTCAAAAAGTAATACTTTCTGTTAAACATGACCACAAACGATATATTTTAAAATTCACAAATATACTCCAAAGAGTGAGTTATCAAATTTAAATAACTTTGTAGAAAAAACTAGGTAGCTGGTATGTCTTAAGCAGTAGGGTTTTAGAAAAAAATCCCGTCATCAGATTGTATGACATTTAAAATTTATGGATTTTTCCCTCTAATGAGTAAGGATCATGGTCCACGTTCCACTAGGGAAGAGAGCAATTTGTCATCTAAAGTGATCCTGCGTGACCAAAGAGTGCAAGTTTACCTACTGGGAGTGTGACGAACAGCACTGACCTATTTCTTGTTTATAAGCTGCCAAAGATGCCAAAGGAGACATACTGATTAAGTTTAAAATAAATTTGGGTAATTCACAGAAAACATAAAGAAATGAAGTTCTCTTCCTCACCTATACCTTAACTTAACCCAACTGAAATGTGTGCAGACAACTTTAGTTGAGATGCTGTCAGTCCCCAGTGTTGTCTTGGCCCGTTGAGTAGATTGTGCACGTGACAGATCTGTGCTGCTCCACACAGCAACCACTCATCACATGTGGCTCTGGAGCCTTTGAAATGTGACTAAATTTAGGTGTGCTGTAACTGTAAAATGCCATACATTGGGTATTTCAGAACTTGCTATGAAAAATAAAACTATCACAGTCTCTTAACATTGATTATAATTTGAAATGACAGTATATTGTATATGTTGGATTATGACTAGATAGTGTTAAAAAAATATATAGTATATATATAGTTTGCAAATCTTTTTTAAAAGTATATATAGTATATATATTAGTTTTTTAAAAGTATATATATAGTTTGCAAATCTCGACGGACAGTACCATTTTAGCTACAACTCCAAGGGTTATCTGGGTTTATCACTTAGCAGTACACTGTTTTCAAGACATTGGGACCAATTTAAATAAGCAGAGTTTTCATTAACTGCAGCTGTTATACTGGATTCCGTAGGGAATTAAACCTTTCCTCTTCTAATTTGTAGGAAAAGCAGTAAACCTCACGAAGACATCATTGGCATTCGATCTCAAAACCAAGGCTCTCTGGCCCAGGGAAAAAAATTTTTAATGAGCAAATTTTCATCTCTAAATCAAAAAGTGAAGCAGACCAAATCCAATGTAAATATTGGCAATCTACGAAAGCTAGGAAACTTTGCAAAACCTGAGGTGAAAGTTAACTTTCTAAAGCCGAATTTGAAAGTCAATCTTTGGAAGTCAGATAGTAGTCTTGAAACCATGGAGAATGCAGGTGTGGTGGATAACAAAGTCCAGCCAGAATCTGATGGGGAAATATCTTCAGATAATGATTCATACCACTCTGATGAATTTCTTACCAACTCCAAGTCTGATGAGGACAGGCAGCTAGCTAGCTCTCTAGAGAACGTAGGGCCAGTAGACTATGTTCTCCCCAGTTGTGGTATTATTGCTTCGGCACCTCGGTTAGGAAGTCGATCTCAGTCCATTAGCAGCACTGATCTTAGCATCCAAGTTCCTTCAGGGAGCACTGTTGCTCATGGCAGCAGGCCTGAAAAAGGTCATGAGTCTCTTCTGAAGAAAAGTCCTTCTGTTGACAGTATACACGTACTGACTGGCTTTGCCAAGCCTGTGGATATTTACTGCCACAGATTTGTACAAGATGCACAAAACAAAATGACCCAGCTCTCAGAGACCAGATGTGTTTCTCAGCAGGCTAGTGAGGAAGGAAATCAAATGACCCGCCAAGTTTCTAATGAAGAAACTCAGTCAGAAGCAATGGAACAGACGCCGTCTCGACCGTCGCAGTTAGATGTATCTTTTTCTGCGACGGCCCCTCAGTTCTTGTCAGTTGAACAAGTACATTCAGTTGTATCTCAAAAGACCCCTGGCTCCGGATCCAGTACGCTTGAACTTGAAACAGGCCTTCCTATAACTCCTTCTCCTTCAGAGAGCAGTAGCAGCCGAGCGGTCTCTCCCTTTGCAAAGATTCGAAGTTCCATGGTCCAGGTTGCTAGTATCACCCAAGCCGGATTAACCCAGGGGATCAACTTTGCCGTGGCAAAGGTTCAGAAGAGCCCTGCAGAGCCCGAAGTGGTTAATGAAGTCCAGCAGAATGAACTCAGAAGCATGTTTACACAATGCCAGACACGAATAATTCAGATTTAGTTTTTAGCCATTAAGAATCCTTCTGCAGCTTTTATTTAATCCGAAGTAAGGAGGTTCCACATACTAGGCTATTTTAACTTGATACTGCCTTTCAATCTAGGGATAACAAATTCTAATTATGTTTATTGGAAAAGGCTTTAAAAGGAGTCTGAACTTAAGCAGATTTCTAGATTTGGGAGCCAGGACAATGAAGTGCATCATCCTGGAATGTGCAGACCTGGGTAACTTACCCACCACAGAGCAGTTTGTCTCTTTGAAATTCAGGCTAGATTTATTTGAGAGATAGTAACGCAAACCTTTTTTTTTGGGGGGTGGGGAGGGGGCAGTTAGAGTGAAGTTAGACATTAAAACTGGGCATGGACACATTTAAGAAATTAGAATTTTTCATAACTTGTTTGTATTGCCTCTTTAAGGTAATTACATTTAGTTTTTAGTGATTTTTTTTTAAAGTATTACCTAATATGGAGAAGCATTTCAATATAACAAAAGTCTTGGTTTGGTTTTAATGGTTTAGCCATTCCCTATCAAGCGTTAATTGAGGTATTGGCACTATACATGCCCATTTGATACTAAATTTTCTCCATATTCTTAGATTTTAAGGTATTCTGTCACCTCTACACCCCAAAGTCTAGTAGTAGTAAGACTTGTGAGTCATCAGGAGAACCTGACATCTTATGTGAATACTAGCACCTACTTAATTTTGCTCTGTTTTTAGAAATGTAAGAATGTACTGGTAATTCCTGAGGGAAGTTTTCGAGTTGTAGGGGCTCTCCTTAACATCTGCAGACTAACACGGACTACTCAAAGTTTAGTTCGAAGCACAGTTGTGGCTAAAACTGATTTTATGACTATAACCCTGACCACATGGACCCATGGACTCTTCTGTAAGCCTGTAAGTTGCACATCTTATTCCCAAACAAGTATTGACTGGTTTATCTGGTATCTTTAGAGTGTTACTCTGTTGACGTGATTCTCAGCTAAACATTATGTCTGTTGTAACAACTTTGATTAAGTATTTCCACTTTTGTTATTTATTAGTGGTGTCCTTTTTTTTTGCAAGTGTCAAATCCTGTGACTATTTAAAATAAAATACCATTGTAATTTAAGTGATAAAGTGTATGAGAATTCTTTAGTATTTGCAAAATAAATTTTCTATAACTGAACACCTGGCCCCAGTCTTTTCATATGCTTCTCTTGAAGCGTCTTCCTTAAAAACAATGAAATACATCACAAACCATCAAATTTTAAAATCCAGACAGTGGAACCAAATGCTTTATTTTTCTCTTGCCAATTTTTCTTGCTTGAAAATACTTAAGTGAAAACTTAAAGTCCTACAATATGACAGCAAATATAAGCCAAAGTCATGAGAAAGTGTTTATGCTCCACAGAAATTGGTTGCAAAGAGGTGATTTTTTTTTTTTTTTAATTAAGACAGCGAGCTGATGTTCATAGACCCTGATCAGAATTAACGTATCCTGGTTATACAAATAGGAGTCACACTGAATTCATTAGCTCGGCAAACTCTGAGGTCCACATGTGTGGGCAAGGAAAAAAAGGCTCCTGAGGGCCAGAGCGCCAACCCCCCCTGCTCCCGGGGGACCCGCGCAGAAGTGGGCCGCCACCTCCCACACTTGCCTTTTACCTGGTTTCCTGCCACAAGGACGGGATCGCTGCACAAACCACACAGTAGCTGGGATTAACTTATAATTGATGAGAAACAGCCCTAAGCACTAGTAAATGGGGGAAGTTTTGTTTGTTTCAAAAGGATTTTCCTTTTGAGGGAACTCCTGCAAGACCAAGCAAATCTCTTTGGTAAATTACAGTTCACACTGGCACAATAAACACTGTAACTAACCTACTTTGTTCTAAGCCAATTAAAACGTTTTATTCTCACAAATGCAGTTGAGCCTTCATTTTATTTCTCAAACTTAAGGAAATCTAGTCTACCAGTTATAAAAATGAAAACCAGTTAGAATTCTAAATATAAACAGATTATTTACATCAGTTTATAAAAATAGATTTGAGTTTAGGAAAAAAAAAAGGTATCTAGTAATTTTCAGTTCATTAAGCATAATAAATTCCTTGATTTTCATGGCTGACCCTGCTTTCCTCGGTTAGCAATGTCAATTTAGGCCTTGTGCAGGAAGGGGCTAGTATTTAATCTGATTTAAACCCCTAGTTTCCAACTAGGTTAAAAGTAATTAATCTTTACATGTAAAACCACCGACACCTTTAACGTTCTAACCTGTCCAAAGATGTTTGATTTCACAATTATGCCACTGTATTAATTGATAAGGTCATTTAACAGTTCAAAATCCAACAAAGCAACTAAATGATATTTATTAGGAACAAAATTAAAAACTTTTTTTCTAAAGAAGGCATTAAAAAATTTACTATTTCGCTTTTTTCATATTTGGGCAAAATAACTTCACAGGGCAGCATTCCCTTAAGTGAGTCCCATAAACAGTGGTTCCCAAGCACAATGGGGGGGGCGGGGGGGGGGGAGAGCGGGGAATCCAGAAAAATAAGGACAATGTTTTTCAAAATGCTACATTTACTCCATTTAAAGGACTGATCTTTTTCTGAGATTGTCCTTTTATGAAAAAATGGTGATAATATAGTGATTTTCAGATTACTTGGCAAAATAAATTGGCAACCCTGTCAGCCACCCCAAATTTTTCGAATTACTGGCCCATGAAATCTAAAAGTCTGGGAACCACTGCCACGTAAAAAACTAGTTTTGCAGAGCATTAACTACTGTGAAAGAAAAGGTTTCTGTGGTCAAATGTTTGGGAAATAACACTACAGAATTCCACATGTTCCCGTGAAATCATGTCACATATGCCCCTTCCCCAGCCTGGGGCGCGAGCACATCCAGACCCCACTGTTAATTAGAAAGAAAAATCTGAAATGAACAATTCCTGACTTTGGAATTGCAACAATTTTCTTCAAATGAAGTCACCAGCATTTTAAGAGTCTGGTCTATGATTTAGATGAAGCTAAGGAAATGGTATAATCAGCAACATTATCCATATTAAACTTTTAATATCAAATACATTTTTGTACATTGTTACTAATTTATATAATTATAAAACAAACTTCAAAAGCTCCATAAAACCAGTAAGGCAAAAGCCCTTACTGAATATTATATAAACTTCAGGTGTTACCAGGCTTGATTTCAGGAAAAATCATTGGTTTTTGATACAAATTATCTACAAAACAATGTGGTATAAATGATAATTGAATTTTACAATAATGTGGCTACAATTTGCCCCTTACTCTTTAGTTGTATCAGATCTTTAAAGTTCATTTCCATTCACACATTTCTGCTGCTGAAGCCTGGTTCTTCGTAAGGACTCCAGCTGCTTTGCTCTTAGCCATCGTTCTCTTGACAGCGTTGTCTGACCAGCACTGAGAGACAGGAACCTGGTTGAAATCCAGAAACATATTTAAGGATAATGGCTTTTTCTTTTTCTTAAGCCCGAGGAATACTGGGTGGGGAGACAAGACCACCGGGTAGCTACGCACAAGAGTCAAGACTTCTACAAAGAAACCTCTGGAGAGTCAAATCTGGAGGGTGACTCACGCTGAAGTTTAGAGAACAAGGTGCAGGCCTGTTCCACTGAGGTGACTGATCACTGGCCAGACACAGTTCCTGCTCAGGCTTCTCACAAAGTGTCTTTTTTTTTTTAAAGATTTATACACACATACATACATACATACACACATACATACACTGGGCACAGTCTGACGCGCGGGAGGGTGAGAGAATTCACCAGAGCCAGAGCAGGGAGCAGAGGGCGGCAGGAGAGGTCTGCGCGCCATGTGGGACCCTCCTCTGGTGGCCGGGGAGCAGCCGGGGATTGAACCGGCGCCGCAGAGGCCGCGGGCAGCCTCGCAACCCAGAGCTCAACCGCTGCGCCACCGGGGAGGCCCTCACAAAGTGTCTTTAAAAGGACGTCTTTAGCATCCATTTCTGGAAGTGAGCCTCAGTTTCTCTTAAATAAATCAGGAGATTTGTACCTGGCTGACCGAGAAAGCCATGGTGGGCACGCACTACTCACCGAGCTACAATGAGCAGCTGGTGGAGGTCGTCCGCGGTGATGCGCTGAGGGTCATTCTTGCGCATTTCCACAAAGTCGTCTTCAACTGCCTGTGTCAAAAGAGTAAGTGGATTCTAAAACCATTCTTTATGGGGAAATGAAAGCAACGCTGACTCGTGAAAATGAAGTCAACTCTGCCTCTGCGACACATGAGACAATACAGGTGAGAGGACGGAAGAACCTGACTTTACACATACGACTGTACTACAGATGGAGCATTCTACACAAAGTAACACCACCCGGATGTTAAGTGACATTAGTCAGCGGCCAGCAGAGCAGCATGATGCCTTAAAACAGGGGAGAGAGAAATCAGTGGAAATGGCTCTGAAAATCCCACCATCCAAGGAGCAGAACTTTAGCAAAAATGATTAAAATCAGTTTCTTTGGAACTCTAAAAACTAACCACATGCGTCCAACAATCTGGGGAGCATTTATATATGAAAGGCCAGGTAAGAACACTGATAACAACACTGAATTCTGGGGCATTTTAATTTGCCCTATTCCCACCTACTCCATTCTGAGCAACCTTGAAAACGGACAGTCTGACAACCACTGCGGACAGCAGAGCAGCTGGAGTGCTTTCAAAGCACCATGTGTGGAGAACTGTCATTATGTGCCCCATCTAGGGGTTCCCTGGAAGGACCCGTTTGTAAGGCTCTCGTTAAGTCACTGGGAGCTGAAGACCCTCTTCCCCTTAAGTCACTGGGAGCTGAAGACCCTCTTCCCCCAGGGTATCTGTCAAAACCAGAATGACATAGCCATCGAGGGATATGAAAACCACAGACAGACAATTTCCTAGGGAGTTAGGACACACACCCCCCACACCCCCCGCCGCATGCTCAGAAACTCCGAGCAGGTCCTAAGTGAGCATCTCCCCCTGCTCTGGGCAAGCAGGACGTGGAGGCTGACATGGAGCGTGAACGGCACCGCCGGGTGTGGACGGCTCGCCCAACACAGCTAGAGCGCCTGCTTTAATTTATACTGGAGAGTCACTGCTTACAGGAATGTAAGGAACCATTAACTGACCACTAAGGTGACAGAGCAGAGACGTCAGTGCTGACACACAACAAAGAACACAGACCAGAAGAGTCACTACACCAAGAGCAACGACAATAAACCCCATCGAGGGGGGAAAATGCAAGAGCAGGGTCGCCACATTGCATGATTTGAAAGGAATGGTTTTCACCACAAAACTTGAAAGAATCTGACATGAGCAGATCTGCCTTACAAACAATAGAGAGTTCTTTGGGCTGAAATGAAAGGACAGTAGACAGTTAAGTTCACACAAAGATCACTGGGAAAAGTAGCTACATTAAGTAAATATAAAGTTTTACAAACGTTTTTAAATCAAAGCCATTACAAAGGAAAAGATACCTGCATTAAGCAATTATACACGTTGACGAATATGCAGTGCATAGACATAATCTGCATACATGCTAATAAAGCACAAAGGGGAGAAGGAAGGAGCTATAAAGGAGCATTCTTTGCATACCAGTGTGATTAAATGTGCACGAATCCTAAACAGCCCCAAGGCGACTAAGAGAAAGTTGTAGAAGACACTGTAAGTTACACTGACATTGTAATGGCACACTGTCACATCTGCTTTAAACAACCAAAAACAATAATGAAGAAGGGAGGAACAAAAAAGATATACAAAAACAAACAGCAAAATTACCAGTAATTAGAGCACATGGATGAAGTACTCCAATGCAGAGAAATCCTTGATTTAAACCCAAACCTACCTTGGTTATCTCGTCAGATATGCTATAATCCAGGAACCTCAAAAGGGTCAAGTAGATGCGGAATTTATTGAGCAGAGAAGGCAGCACGGCCGAGAGCAGGCTGTTCATGTACTCCTCCATGTTGGGGGGGATGAGCTGGGGCTGTAAGTGGATCTGGCAATCTGCCTAAAAAGAGAAATAGCAAACAATGTTTCCCCAGTCCCTAAATTAATCTAATGTTCAAGAGGATGCATCCTCTGTATAGGCCCCAGAAGGGAAGAAAATTTACTGGGTGTGAGAGGTCAGGTTTTAATTAACTGACACGCGCTCTGCTTTCAGCAACAATTCAAACGGTGACCTTTTCTTGGTTACTCACAATGTTTCTCAACAGCATCAGTAAAGCATCAGTAAATGTATTAAAAAGGGAGTCAACCTATAAAAAACTGCTAATTACAATGTTTTAAATGATTCCTTAATCCGCTGTGTTCTGTATTTTACTGCACTGCAGATCTGGAAACAAAGCAAGACACTCTTTTCCACAAAAAACTTACCAACCAGCCATTTCATTCTTATTTGCAGGCGTGTCTCATCACGGGTGAACACTGCTCTGCAGACAAACTGTGCCTTTTCAACGACAGGGCACATTCCTCATCGTTAAATGACTCAAAATATAGCTCTCTTCATTAGGTGGTTTACCAGAGCATTTCACCAGAAAGCATAAAAACAATTACCAGGCAATTAAGAGCATTTAAAAAAGAATTCTAAAGCATTTCTCACATAAGATGGGCAGAAAACAACAGGACAGAGGCAGCAAGAACAGAAATCTGGACGCCAGTCAGGCAATTTACAGATAGCTGCCACCTTCTATTATGCCTACAAAGCGGGAGGGTCCTGCTGCCAGTAGCTTTCTTTTCTTGTTTTGTGATTTGCAGGGATCTGGCTCTTTCTAAGGCGGTCATTCCAAGGCAGGAACAATATAACCAATTCTTTTGTTACTAATCAATAGCACAATTTTGAAACAAGTGTAACATCAGTATGCAATACCAAGAAATAAAAACTATCAAAAATGTAAGTATCTTTCCACTGTCATCTCCCTCCATTTAAAAATGACTCATCATACCGGCAGGAGTGACCTCCCCTCGGAAGTGATGAAGACATTAATGTTGCAGGGGAATTCCATCTGATGGTAATTGAAGTCATAATCCACCTTCTGCCAAGTTATTAGGTTGCTCAGGGCAGTCACATTGTGAACACCTAGAAATGCAAGAAAATTTTTCAGTCATTTGATTTTAATCACCCAGCTTTTTGTTGACTCTGATTGTAAGATGTGGTTTTTATACGCGTTTTAAAAAAACTTAGAAAGCATGCCCACCTTTCTAAGCTAAACATTCATTAGGTAATAGGCTGCAAAGACAATGTTTGTCAAGATAGACAAATACACTTCTGAGGCCCGGGGAACCCTCAAATCCTATACCTAGTGTCTGGTATACAACTTGGCACCAGGCAGGTCCCCAGCAAATATGTTTACTTTCTTTGCAGTTTTCACAGGGCTGAGTATAGTGGGAGGAAAGCTGTTTTTATGGAGATAAGGTTACTGAATATTACTGATTCTCTACTCACCTTTGCCTAAAATGTACCCAGCCTACATTACTACTTCTCCCTTTACCTCTTGAACATATCACCAACAAAATGTTTTAATTTCATTTGAGCACAAAGCAATCGGCTTTCTTATAACTTTATTAGATGTCCCATAATTAGAGTTAGTTCAAAGCATCCAACCTATGAAAATTTTAACCAAATCCATATGGCAAGCCTCTACCTTCTTCTTCTTCAGTTATTCTTCTAAAATGTCATCACCTAATCTTTTTTTTTTTTAAAAGATTTATTTATTTATACAAGCACTGGGTACAGTCAGAAGTGTGGGAGGGTGAGAGAATTCACCAGAGCCAGAGTGGGGAACAGAGCAGGCAGACTGACGAAATACACTGCTGAGGGGAGCAGCGGGCATGGCAGGAGAGGTCTGTGTGCCATGTGGAACCCTCGCCGGTGGCTGGGGATCGAACCGGAGCTGCAGAGGCTGCTGGCAGCTTCACAGCCCAGTGCTCAACCGCTGCGCCACTGGGGAGGCCCTCATCACCTAATCTTAATGGCAAGTTAGAGATGAAGAGAAAAGTCCTCACACAGACCTGGGGTGTCGAGCTGCCCTTGTTCCAGCAGAGTCTCATCGATCACCAGGGACGTGTTGCTGGGGAGCTGCAGCAGCCCGCTGACCAAGCGGTTGGCTGTGTAGTCTTTGTGGGGAATGAATTTCAAATGATTCATGTTCTCTATGGTCATCTGGAGACGAAATGACTACAAAGAGGAATGTTTCCATGAGCAAGAAGCTAATTTCTTAGTTTTTTAATAAGCAGGAAATGACGTTTCCCTCTTTTAAGAAAATATACATTTTGGGCTCAACACTCTTTCGTATGGAAAAAACCAGCTTATAAATTCCCAAGAGGTGGTCCCACGGTTTACTGAGCTCTTGAAAGCAGAGAAATGCCTATCACTTATGGAAGACTATCACCGAGCCTATGAGCTACTTTGTTCTCAGCTGTCTTGCTCAGCACTCTTGAAGAATGGTTTTCACTGTACCAGTGAAGCACTGGTACAATAGCTAATACTGTAAATAGACAATTGAGAGACATACACCAGATATCCAGAAGCTTAGCCTACCACAGGGTAGCAAAACAGAAACTTCAAGATAGGGAAGAGGGAAAGCTTCCACCAATTTTTCTCTAAGCTCCCTGAGTTGAAATCATTCACCACAGACTACTGTGGACTTTAGAACCAACTGTTCCAAAGAAAAGCGAGGAGCAGAGCAGGAGAAATGCTTATGGAGATAAGGTTACTGACTCCAGGGGTGTGTCCAGGGGTGGCAGATCTCAGCTCTTTGCTCCCTCGGGCTACACGCCGTCGCCTCATTCAGCCCTTACAGAGTAAAACAACTGTTGAACCATCTGCACCTCCCTTGTCTCCCTGGGCCCATAGCCCCCCCCTCTCCTGCACCCTGCTTTGTTTGTCAATCAACTCCTCTATCACTGGCTTAAAAAGGATGATGGGGAAAATGGGTGTCGAGGAATAAAGCATATTTTCAAAATGTGGAGGATTTTTGGACTTTGGCTCAGTAATTAAAAAAAAAGGGATAGGGTGTATATATTCATCTCTAATAAGGCAAAATAATGATACAATCCAAATAAACAACACCTCTAAGTTCACAGTCATGTTTTAAACACATAAAGTGAGTCAAGGACTGTGAGAAATGCTGTTCTACAGGGCCCAGGGCTGCCAGACACCCAGAGAACGCTGGTGTTTATGGCCACTCCACGAGTGCTGGAGAAAGGTGACCTTTTTGCACCTCTGACCGCTTCCAAAGCGAGCAGTGGTCAGCACTTCCAGTCACACCACTGGTCAGGAGCAACTCCCCATTTCTAAGATCTCACACCACACAAGCACTGCACATCCAGATGCCCTGACAAAAAAAGGCAGTTCAACTTTTTACACAGGAGTGAAAATTGCAGCAGTAACAATAAAGAGCTTTATTTATTACCTCAGCTGAAAATATTATGCTTCCCCTAACTTAAGGTTTATTTAGATTTAAGGTTTCAATGCACACAAAGGACACCAAATTGCACAAACAAATTAGCATCAATCAAGACTACAACTTTAAAGAAGTTACGGCAATTGTGCCATCAGACTTGCAAAATTTGGGCTAAGGCACAAGAGAAAAGAAAATGTTTAGGGGTAAGTACATCTTAACTTACAGAACTGGGTAGGTTTTGTTTCCCCTTAGTGAGATCTAGTAAATTCTCAAAGTTAAATATCTGAGTTGAATGAACGATAATCAGATGTATTCAAAGTGTTCTTAGGTTTATAATTTGTATTGTGCTTACTGCTGGAACAAGATGCTGAATGATTCGATACAAGTGTTCTGTGAAGGTACTATTCCGGGGGCAACCACTCAAGTTAACTGTAAATTTTCCTAGTGGAAGAACATCTCTTCTTGTGTATCTAAGGAAAAAAGACAATAAAATATTCAGGTGATGTACTGATTTCCACCAAAAAGCAAACAAAGAAAAATTAGTATTATTTAAAAATTATCATAAAGCAGATTACTCAGGTCTCATCAAACGAAGAGCCACACTTACTATAGGTGTCGATCATGTGTCAGGGATTATTCTGAGTCCTTCATTCATAACTATTCAATCCCTAACCACTGGAAGGCAGGTGAGACTATCTTCATTTTACAGACAAGAAATGTGAAGCACAGATATTGCAAGTAACATGGCCAAGTTCACTGTCAGGAAGTAGTAGAGTAAGGATTTGAACCTGGGTCGTTTGCTTCCAGAATCTATGCTGTCACCCAGGATGTACTACTACCTCAAACCCTATCTGAGGAAAGATGTGAGTATGATGAAGACATTTACGGCAGTGATATTCACAATAGAGAAAAACTAGGAAAAGCTAATGTGTAGGGGAATGGTACCACTGTCTATAATGAAATACTTGCAGTGAATAAAAACCTTATGGAGAACTGTGATGAGGGAACATTTGCGACTTAATGGTAAAATCAGTCTTGGGTCTGTGTTGAGAGCATGCATGAGACCCACGCGAGGGTGCAAACACAGGTAAAGAAAACAGGGTGACGTGAACATGTACGACGAGTGTTAACTGAGATGCTCTTTAAGTGGTGAGACTAGAGGACACTTCTTCATGCTCTCGGAACTTGCTGGAAGTGCACAAGTTACTTCTGAAATCACAACACAACCCTAGTGGCGTGAAAGGGAGAGGTGCTCACAGCCACACACGAGTCAGATGTCTACACGACTGTGACTGTTGACACATACAGAGCCGCGGGGTGTATAAACGCAATTCAAAGTACAAAAAGGATATAGTTAATCTATTCATTAGCCAAGTTACATCTGATGTTGGCTCTTCAATTTAAGGAGAGAGTCAAAATACTAAAATATGAAACTGAGAAAAGGTGAAAAAATGGGATTTGTGATTTGGTAAAACATTTGTTACACTGAACAAATAAGAGCCACCTGAAGAAGAAGTCAACAGATTAAAGCACACTAAGTGCTTGAGGAAGCTCCCACTCATTTCTTCTTTCACCAAACTCCCTCAATTCCCCCCAGGAATATGGCACTTACACTGTAGAGATGAGGTGCAGGATAAGGTACTCAGCAGCCAAACTATCTCCCAAAAGAGCATGCGTGAGGAAGCCAAGCAGCTCTGCTCTGACTGGAGACAATTCGGACATGAAACTCGAAACAACTGGAGAAGAAAGAGACCAGATTCAGAACAGACACACCCCCAGTTCCTTCGAGCGTCTCAGGTTAGACAATTACGTGGAACAAAGCACTGCAAGGCAGTAGGCAACTAGCGATGTCAAACTTGAAGGTGAGACAGCTTGAATCTTAAAAAAAAGAAAACAACAAAAAACTCATCTTCACGAAGAGAATTAACCTAATGGAAAATGGGCAGAGAAATGGCGGACCGAAGCACAGCCCCAGGGCGTGCTGGACACATACCCATCAAGCTTCAGCACTTACACTTACAGGTTTTGCTCTCCTCCTTGTTAAGGCAAGCGGGTAGTAATGGATTGATGTGCTGCAATTTCTGGGCTAAAACGACATGAATTCTTGGCACTAAGGATGCAGGAGGACTGTGCACTCTCTGTTCTTCAGCTGTGTCTGCACATTCCATTGGATCCAGGAGCGAGGAGGCATCCCTACGGGGAGATGACAAGGCGTCAACTCTCAGATCCAGCATCAGTTGTGGATATAAACATAACACACATCTCTGAAAATAAAATGCAAATTCAAGTCCGCAACAGCTGGATCTATACATATCTTAAAGAAGAGGAAATGGCTCCTCATTCTAAAATGTTGCGCATTTGCACAAACAACAGGTGAGGTGGGTCACATCATAATATACTGTATTTATTCTTCAAGAACAGTGACATTTCTACTCAGGATTCTACAAGCACAATAAAATGGGATATAGTCTATCACTCATGAGATTATTTCAAAACACAGATACTCCTTCCTGAGTGACCAGCTGTACATCAAAAGCTTAATAGCATGTCTAAAAAACTGGAGTCCTTTCCTCAAATGCCATTAACTATCTAGCCATTCATCTCTATTTCATTTTGTTAAATTATACTCTTACACAATACTCTTCCCTGCATAATGCATGGTTAAGAATTGAAAATAAATTGAGTTTTCTTGGATTTGCTAAATAAATTTAGTAGGTTATTATTGTGAGATGATTCAACACATAACTGAAATATTTTCAGGCCTTCAGACTTGACAGATCGACTCACTGGAGTTATTAGCTCTTATAACTACTATCTTAAGTATGAGAAGGGTATTATCAGCAATACAAGGTAGAGTCCACCTGCTGGGCATATGTTCTATACTTTGCACACATAAATTTACTAAATCACCCTCACTTACAGTGAGGAAACCAAGCCGTCACAGAAGTTAAGCCCAAGTTCACACAGACTAAAAGTGGCCAAACTAAGATTCCAACCCAGATCCTCTGGCTCAGTCTGTGCTCTATACTAAACTACCTCAATAAATGAAGTAACTAAAAACTGATGTACTATTATTTTTGTACTATTATGTACATAACTAGAAATTTTTTGTACTATTACTATGGGATGTCATATAATTACCTTAAAAGTGATTTAAAATTAGGCCGGGGGGGGGCGCGGGGGGGCTCCCTGGTGGCGCAGGGGGTTAAGACACAACCTAAGAAGCTGTTTGCAGCCATTACAGCACGAGTTCAATCCCCGGCCAGGGAGCTGGCCCACATGGCGCAGCAGACCTCTCCTGTGTCACCTGTTGCTCCCCTCAGCAGTGTATTTCGATCAATCTGCCTGTTCTGTTCCACACTCTGTGTGTGGTGAATCTCTCACCCCCGCACACCCCTGGCCTGTACCCCAGCTCTTGTTTCCATAAATAAATAAATCTTTAAAAAAAAAAAAAAATTGGGTGGGGGGCAGTGTGTGTGTGTGTGTGTGTGTGTGTGTGTGTGTGTGTAGAAAATGAATTGCTTTTAATGGAGAAAACAAAATGAATCATCCAATATTCAACAGGAGAATGCTACTTCAGGAGGGGAATGTAATTCCCTTCCTTTGGCAACCTCAAGACAAAACAAGGGAGATCTGGCTTTTCAGAACATGATGTTAAGTAGAAAAAAAAAGGCAGAGAGTGCACATACAATGCTGCCTTTTACAGAGGAAAAAACACACATGGGTCTACTTATGTTTGCAAAAAACAACTATAGGAAGGGTAACAGCAAAATCAGACTTTGGCTCCCTATGGAGGCTGAGTGGGGAGGATGAGGAATGACACCTAAGGCCAGCTTTTTGTATGCATTTTTTTTTTTTTGTAACAATGTTCATTATTATTAAAAGAAAAAATCAAGCAGCAGAGATGGAGAAAAACTCAAGTGAAACACAATCAAATCAAAGGGTCCTAATTACGTGAAATGAAAACTCACTAACGGAACAGGCATAGGAAAGAACTCACCCAAGTAACTTGGAACAGAGAAGTCATCTTACACACCCTCATCTTAAAAAGAACCAGAAATAAGTAGCACTGAACTCTAATTACTAAGTTTGTTTTCCAGGGAGAAAAAAACAACTGGTAGAAAGAATGTAACTGAAACAGTGAGTGAAATTAAGGATGGACTGTAGGTCAGTGCATTGTATATTCATGGCAATTTTCCCAATTCTGACAGCTGTATAATTACATATGAAAACGCCCTTGTTCTTAGGAAACATGGATTCAAATTTCAAGGGAATGGTATATGCAGTTTGCTCTCAAGCGTTTCAGAAAAATAAGTATAAAAAATGTGTTTTTGATATGAGAGCACAAGTGAATGACGAAGTGGCATAAATGTTACTAACTGGTAAATCTGGGGGAATGGAAGTTCCTTAGAACAATTCTCTAACTCTTCTGAAAGTTTGAAATTATATCAAAAGAGCAAATCAGAAGGATGGAGAAAGCGCGTTACTGAGGCGAGCACCTTTCCTCACTGTTGAGGATGCTGAGGACAGGATCCACAGAGAGCACGCCGTACAACTCAAGGACATCGTTCACCTTGAAACAATCCCAGTCTTCATAGACCTAACGAGAAACCACAGGAAATCAGTGTCAGCACTAAAAAACACCGAAAGCACGATAATAGTGTTGATTTTAATGTAATAATCATTATCTTAGAATTTTTGAGCAGGAAATGCACAGCAAAGCAAATTACTTTATTTCATAAACTGAAACCAAGACAGGTGAGGTACTTACCTGAAGTCATTCTACTGGGTAGAAAATAAGTCAACAACTAAAATACAGGACTCCTGAGTCCCGGACCAGTGCTGTTCTCAACACACCACACTACTTCAAAGAAAGGGTTAACCTAACGGATGATCATCAACACTAGAAACATCCATTAGCTCAAAACCTATTAACCACACCAAGAGAAAGGGGAGAAAAGCCAGAATTAACAGCTTGGGACTTACTCACATACTACACACCGTCAAGAGGATTAACACAAAGCTTACAGGGACAGGCGGTCTTTCATAATAAAACAACAAATTTTCAAAGTTGTTGGCCATGACGGGCTTTAGTAAATGTCAAAGCCTCCTATGAGTGAGACAACAGAAGCATAGCAGGAAAAATGTGGGAATTCTGCTTTTCATGCTGGATAGCTGAAGTGCCATTAAGGTAAAACCAGAACAAATAAAAATGGAATTTCTCAATGATTTTGTCAGAAACTTACATCACTCGCTAATTTCTTAGGATTAAAACGCCAGAATAAGCAAGACAGAAGGACAAAGTATTAACACATTTTTTTCCTTCTATTGCTATTTTATTTTAAACAGAAGTGAGAAATGGATTTTGACAAGAAAAGGAAGGATGGTAAAAATGAAGTAGGTATTAGGGAGTTAGAAATGACATCGGAAAGTGGACACTAAAATGTTGTCTCACTTGTGTTTGAACATTCTCTAAGAATGCTGAGGGAGACAGAAGGGTCAGTCCCCAAAGATGGCCCTACCCTGGAATCTGTGCCAATTATGTAAAGCAGACATGTAAATTAAGAACCTCAACGAGGGAAATTATCCTGGGTTGTCTGGGCAGGTTCAAACTAATCACAAGGGTGCTTAAAATTGGGGAGTCTTTCCTAGCTGCGTGACAGAGATGCAGTGTGGCTGTCTTTGAGGACGGAGGAGGAGGTCGCACATCGAGGAAGGTGGGCAGCCTCTAGGAAAGGGCATGGAAACAGATGCCCCTCTCCCGCCTGCAGACAGGAACGCAGCTCCACGAGATTTTGCCCCGTGAGATCTATATCAGACTTCTGACCTGAAGTCTTTAAGAAAATCAATTTTTGTTGTTTTAGCCGAATGATTTTGTGGTGAGTTGTTACAGCAGGAAGAGAAACATGACACAAATGCTAAGATTTTCCCATTTTAACATTCAGGCACATTAACATTTCTATGTCAACGTCAGATCTATAAAAGGTTTCATTACCTTCACAAGGCATGCAGGGCCCTTCTCTCCTGGCAGTGGGAAATTCAGATCAAAAGGAGACGAGAGGTTCAGGGAGTTTAGCTGCTGCCCAGTAGAAGCTTCAGTTTCCAAACGCTTTGGCTCTCCACACCACTGTAGGCCACCAACACTCCCTAAATTCAAAGGACAGCATGGCACCTTGTCAAGGCTCAGGCCTCCTAGGAATATTCCTGTAAGACCTTTCAAGTTTGATATAAATGATGCTTCTGAGCTTGCAAACCTCAAGTTACTACAGCTCTTAAGGAAATAATGTATACTAATCAAGCCCTCTCTATCTGACCTTTAAAAAGAAAGGAAATTTCATAAAGATCTGAAAATTTCACCACTTCCCTCCAAATTTCCACCCCCCCCCCCATCTTGTGTAAGTACTTTCAAAAGTTAGAATTTAATATGGTCACTTTGTCATCCTTGACTTCAGGAATACAGGGACTATTGAAAACAAAACAACTCTGGTAGAGCATACTGTTTTCTACTTATTAGGATTTTATTTATAGTAATAAATTCATTAGCAAATATTAACATCCACTAGCTACCAGGAATCAGATTAGTTGTTGGGGAAACAAAGATAAATAAAAGATAGCCTCTAGCCCTGAAATAGGCACAGTTTAGAGCTGATAATTAAAATCAAAATATAGCCTACCATGCCACAGAATGCTTCTTAGCAGTAAAAAACAATAAACTATTCATACATGCACCAACTCAGACACATCTCCAGGGAATTTTGTTCAATGAGAAAAGGTAATTGACAAAGCGTATATGCGGTATGATTTTATTTGAAACAGCAAAATTAGAGACAGAGATCAGTGCTTGCCAGGGGTGAGGGCCTTGGGGGAGGGAAAGCTAGTGGTGGGCATGATTACAACAACGTGAGAGTGGTAATGAACTGCTCTGCCTCTCGTCTGTGGTGACCCGAATCTTCACGTGATAAAACTACAGAGACAGTATACACACATATGTACTGTGTAAAATGTGAATACTGTCGATGAGTGTATCAATATCCATTTCCGGGATGATCTTCTACTATAAATACGCAAGATGTTGCCACTGGGGAAAACTGGATTGAGGGAATGCAGGACCTTTTTAGCATTTCTTACAACTGCAGGCGAACTGACATGTCTCAAAAAAAAGCTTAAATGTACAGTCAGAAAGATTGCCTAAAATCCAACAGGTAAGTTAAATTTTATAAAAATAATGCACTCAAATGTATGAAAACCCTACAGTATGACACTGGCACAAAAGGGGCAGGAAACAAGAAGGCGTATCACCTGCTTAAGTGATGAGAATGACCATGTGTGCTGGATTGTGATATTATTACAATCATTTATTATTATGAGTCACACACTTCTTATGAATACCATTGATTTTAATATATTTTAAAAAGAATATTATCAAATTTACACATATATTTCCATAAAACATTTCAATTTTCAAAACACATGTTTTAGCATTAAGGAACATGAGAAGAACTTGGAAAGCAGAGTAACATGTGGTTAAGTGAAGCAACGAGACTAGCATGCTTTTCCTCCCTCCCGTCTCAAACCTGCCCTATGGTTAAAGGTGCCAAAGGGAAGAGAGGGCATAAAAAGAGAAAGACACTAATGTACTTGGGATCATGAAGACGTCCACTACTCAGGAAAACCGTGACTGGTATAATCAGTAATGATAAAGGCCAAGCTGAAATTTTCTCATGCAGTAGAAAATGGCACCTCTTGATTTGCTTATTTTAATCAGAATTAACTGTATTTTTAGCATGCTTCAAGAAATATCAACAAATCACTACAAGCATGTAACAAACAGAACTGTGACTATGCTATGCCGAGAGTGATTTGCTTAAGTTAGAAAGAAACGTTGTCAGTCTCACTAAATTAAGTAATACCACCACTCCTCCAAAAAGAAAATAATAAAGGATATGTTTTCAGATATAAATAAAGGTCATTTTTAAGGTAAAGCTTTATGCTTCCATTTACTTAAGAGCTGAAACAAAATGTAAAGAAAGAGAAGACTTTTTTCAACTAAGCACCTTTAAAAACCGACAGTTGGAGACCATAACCAAGATGAAAATGCATACATTGTGCAAAAATGAAAAATGATGTAAAAAATATATAAAATTAAAACAAAACAAAACCTGACAGTTGTTCTCAATTATTGAGGCTGGCCCAAATGCTCAATTACAAAGTACAATCTGACCAGAGTACTGGAAACGCACACAACCTGCCTATAATTCTAATAAACTTGAAAGCAAGGTTGTTAAACCATTGCCAGCTGCAAACTTAGAATTATTCTATTACACAAGTAATTCTGAGAATGCACGTACTGCAAGAGAGCAGCCGCCTACCGGAGCCCTGTTGGCACACGCTACCTGCTTGTCGCGAGCCTGCGTGCTGATCTTTCTGCTTATTTGGCTGTAGGTCCATATCTTCATCATCTTCATAACTCCTTTTGTGGCGGCTGGGAGTGTAGGATGTTGAAGGGCTGACTCGAGCTTGGTTTGCATTAACGTAGGCGTTAAAAGAAAGGTTAAGAAAAGTCTTTGGGAACTGAGGAATATCTTAAGTTATGCCAATTGTGTGACTAGTAATAGGTTACTAGTTTGGCAATTTGGCTAAATAAAATGCATTTTAAAAATGCTGAACTTCTTGGGCCTCCCTGGTGGTGCTGGGGTTAAAGTCTCAGCTTTAACTATTAAGCTCTCACCAGCCACTGCAGCATGAGTATAATCCCCAGCCAGGAAGCTACCTCATATGGCACAGCAGACCTCTCCTGTCAAAATAAATCTTTTTTTTTTTTTTAAAGATTTATTTATCTATGCATACGAGAACTGAGGCACAGGCCAGAGGTGTGAGGGGTAAGAGGATTCACCAGAGACAGAGTGAGGAACAGAACAGGCAGACTGACTGAAATGCACTGCTGAGGGGAGCAGCGGGCAAGTCAGGAGAGGTCTGCTGCACCATGTGGGCTGCTGCTCAACTGGCCGGCCCCGGGATCGAACTCGTGCTGCAGAGGCTGTGGACAGCCTCACAGGCTGCATGCTACCCCTTGCGCCACCAGGGAGGCGCCTGTCAAAATAAATCTTTTAAAAAAAAGAAAGGCAAAAAAAGCCGAGCTTCTTGTTTTGGTCATAATAACAATATACAGACATGTTATTGGAAATGTCAGAACACCACAAACAGAAGTTATTAAAATCTTCAAGAAATAAACATTTGTGGGGCCTCCCTGGTAGCGCAAAGGGTTATGAAACTATCGGAAGCTACTGCAGCATGAGTTTGATCCCTGGCCAGGGAGCCACCCCACATGGCACAGCAGACCTCTCCTGTCTCGGCCACAGTTCCCCTCAGCAGTGTATTTCATCTGATCCACCTGTTCAGTTCCCCACTCTTTCTCTGGTGATTCCTCTCTCCCCCACACACACCTCTGGTCTGTATTCCAGTTCTTGTATGCATAAATAAATAAATCTTTAAAGAAAAAAAAAGTTAGAATGAGTTCTAGTTTGAAAGCAACTTTTTACTTAATCAGTTTTCTCTTTTAGTGCCTTTAAATATACTTCAGGGCCTCCCTGGTGGCGCAAGGGGTTGAGCACCACACTATGAAGTAATCCACAGCCTCTGCAGCAGGAGTTCAATCCCCAGCTGGGCAGGGAGTGGCCCACATGGTGCAGCAGACCTGTCTCGCTGGCTGCTCCCCTAAGAAGTGTATTTCAGTCAGTCTGCCTGTTCTGTTTCGCACTGTGCCTCTGGTGAATCCTCTCACCCCCTCCCTGTATCTCTGGCCTGTACCCCGGCTCTTGTATGCATAAAATAAATAAATCTTTAAAATAAAAATAAACAAATGAACTTCAATATTTTTAACAGGAATGTTCCATAATTTTATCATTCCTCAGTGATAGTTACTTAGGTCAAATGAAGCACATTTTATTTATTTATTTATTTATTTTTTTTTTATATAGAGGCATGTTTTCTTTCTTTCTTTCTTTATTTGTTTTGTTTTTGTTTATACATGCACTGGGTACAGTCAGAAGCGCGGGAGGGTGAGAGAATTCACCAGAGCCAGAGCGGAGAACAGAGCAGGCAGAAGGACCGAAGTACACTGCTGAGGGGAGCAGCGGGCGGCAGGAGAGGTCTGCGCGCCATGTGGGACCCTCCTCCGGTGGCCGGGGAGCAGCCGGGGATCGAACCGGCGCCACAGAGGCCGCGGGCAGCTTTGCAACCCAGCGCTCAACCGCTGCGCCACCGGGGAGGCCCAGCACATTTTATTTAAACAAAGCCAGGCTCTATAGTAAGAAACAGGCCTTTACCTCCCCCCCTCAGCTAATCTAAGTTTTTGAAAACTCAAAATCTAATATCAAGGTATAGAGCTGAACCCCCAAATCATATATAGTATTGTAAACCACAAGTAAATCAATAAAGTTTATTAAAAAAAAAACTCATTTGACTGGTAGTCTTTTCAATTAATAAAATCACCAGAAACCATGATGATTTATAGACAAGAATGTTCAAAAAAAGGATATTTCTTTTACCCACACTGATTCCCCAGGCACTGGAACACAATAGAAAGTCTGTCTTTCCAAAGTGGTAGTTTGTGGAGAATTTAAATCAACTTCTTGTTGAGGCTGTAATGTACACAAAAAACATTTTTAAAATTTTATTTAGAAAAATGAAACAAAAAAGTTTAAAATAGCAATTAGATGTTCATGTTAATTATAAAGACACAGTAAGTATTTCATGCTGAGGTAACTTAATAAGCAACTGTTAAATCCAAACTATCACTTTTTAAAAGAAAACTATCACTTTTTAAAAACAAAATCATTTCACATGCAGTAATCAATATACTATCTTCCCTCAAGTCCCTAATATACAACACCTTAGGTTGCAAAATTAAACCCTTTTTAATAAATGACACATTCACTTTTTTAAAGTCAAAAAGCACATGGTAATATCCCACTATCTCTTTATGAGGAAACTATCACAATCAGCCTAATGGAGATTTTCATGAGGTATCTCTGAGATGAGATTTAAAAGTCAGATATTATTTCCTAGAAAGGCATATTATCTACCTCAAATATACACATTTCTAAGAGATAGGACCCAAAATATTACACTGAAAAATCACTTTAATAGATTACTTTTATGACATAAAAAAAAAAAAAAACCTCAAAATTTTAAGTAAATAAAATGTATAAGTCCCCTTTTCTTTTATTGTACTTAGGATGCTATAGCAACACTGCACACTATGGCAGTGTCACAAATGAACAGTTACTATTTTATTTCCCTATATCCAGGTGCTGACATGACTAAGCTATATTGCATTATTACATACTAGAAAGAGACTGCATTATTACATACTAGAAAGAAATGTGCATTACTTTATCAGCCAAATACTATCGAGGATTCCCTAAGTGGGGTCATTATATGTGAGATTATACAAATCTTTCACGAGCCCATTACGCTAAGTAATCACATAGAAAGCTACATTTCTATTTAATATAATCTTTTCAGCAACCTTCCAAATTTGGGTTATTCTCTCCAGATTGGCACATTGAACCTTGTTCAGTAAGGAATATTTACTGTGCGTTAACAAGCTAGTATTAGTCTTAAGGTAATGTCTTAAGGTTTGGGTAAACAGTAGTCAGAAGCTAGAATGTTAAAAGTCCAGATAACCTTTCAAAATGAAGATTCTGGATCCGCAAAGCAGAGAACTAGTGTCAAAATGGAGGTAATTCCACCCACTTCCCACCTTTCTACCGAGGCCTTGTATAAATACCTGTCTGGTCTCTACCTGTGATGCTTGTTTACATCCTTAAAATTAACAATTACCACCTGTGTTTCCAGAGAACCACATGAAAGCAAAAATCTGAGCAACATTTTTGGTTAATACACTTATTTTGACATGCTGGTAATCTTTTTTTTACTATTAAGCTAGAAAAAAATTAAACTTTCCCCATTACAGTATCAGGTATACTGGGCAGATGTCTGAATAAAACTAAATCTAATTATACATATAGTTCCTCTCTACTGTCAGAAAAGCAAAATTTAAAATGCAGATATAGTGTGGTTGCTCTGGAACTGCTCTTCTAGTAGTTTCTACTGCAAAACTGTCCCTTTCACAACTATAATTTTATCAGGATTCTTTCTCCATGCTCCCTTCTCCCATTGTTTTATAGGTAAGGGAGTTTCTATTACTTACTTTTATCAAATAAAGTATGTTTATTAAAAATATTTTTTTCTCTCAGGAAAAGAGGACAGATTTAATCAGATTTAAGTAATATAATTAAGTGCTAATCTTCCACTTTCATCTTAAAGTTACTGTAATCTATATCCTTTTAAACAGGGAAGGGGGGGAATTCGTTTTGTCGTTTACAATGTTTCGTTTTAAGAGATTTTTTTAGAAGATCAAAAAAGGTAGAGAAAGAAAACATTTCACAGGACTTCTTAGAATTTATTTACTCATAAGATAAATAATTTAAAATCAAAGAAACAAATCCCTGTTTAGAAAAATTTATTAAAAATTGATTTATATATGTTAATGATACATACCCCACACTCAGCTATATCTCTGTATTTTCCAAAATGAAGAACCTATGGCCCAGAAAAAAGGGGAAAACAGTATTCTGTCAGTACATCAGAAGCAAAGTACCATACGCAATGCAAGGACAAAATGAATAATTAATTACAAGCAGAAATTTTCGTGTGAAAACCAGTAATACATTACCCGTGCTTTTGTGTTTCGGTTAACCGTTTCATAAACTCCCATATAAAACTCAGGATCAAACATATCCTGAATCATGCAACGAAACTTCACAAAACTGTTAGGTTTCAAATAATGGAGGGGAACTTCATTCAATGATGGCACCTTAAAAGAAAATAATGAAGTCAACAAAACATTCGTCTATAAAGCATGAAGTTCACATACATACAGAGACTGACAGACCAAGTGGATGCCTACAGATCCAGACCCAAACTGCAATCTCTACACAAAGTCAAGCTCCATTACGGAACAAATGATCTCACAGTCAACATAACGTAGCTGCCCAACAGAAGTATTTTCTGAGTCTTTGCATGTCTATATTATGACATTTGACTCTAACATAAGACATAACAAAAAGAACACTTTCCAATTAGCAGGAAGACATTTACTTTGTTGAGTTCTCTTAAAACATACCAATTTTCAAAAATGAAGGTAATAATGATAATCAAAGCTCTCACACTGACCTTGTCTTAGGAAGTAACATGGTCAGTTACTGCCACCTAGAGGCACTAATATAGATGCGCTTTATTGCTTGAATTGAAGATGCAATACCCTAAAATTTTTTAATAAAGATGCACTTAAAGCAGAAGGCAGTACACAATAATGTATATATTTTTAAATTCTATGTGGATTACTACTATACTGAAATCTGCCCAGCCCTCGTCCCCCGCACAGCTGTAAGCTTACCCACTTAGGAGCATTATTTTCCTTCAGCTTTTCCTTAAAATATTCGATTACTTTCTTCTCCCAGTCAGGATTAACTCCATTTTGGGCTGAAAGAAAAAAAAATATTTTTCAAAGGTTAAGGCACAATGACGTATTACCAGGCTCCATTCAGGTGAGTCATGTTTCAGGAGATGCTCAGGGAGTGCTGGGGGTTGCAGTTCAGGGTGTTGGGGGTTGCACATCAGGGCCACACGACCTCCTGCTGACTCTCAGGAGCTAACAGCAGTGCTGTGAACCTGGAGAAAGCAGCATGCACACCAGCACTCTGCGCTGCTTTTTGAAAACATCTTAGCATAATTTTTAAAAAATCCTTTGCAACGACCCTAAAATGAAGAGGAGAGGATGTTATTTTTTTTTTAAAACTTATTTGGGAACAATTTCAAACGTTCAAAACAGTCACATGGATACAAGGAACACGAGCCTTCTTGCCCCTCTGCGTTATCATTTGCTCTGTATGTTTTCAGAGCCTCTAGATTATGTTTATACATACAACCTATTTTTACCTTCAAATACTTCAATGTGTTTCCTAAGATTATCTTCTATAATCACGGTCCTGTTGCCATGCTCAGGAAACTCGAAAGGAACAGCTACTTTCCTATCTTATCTGCCATCCACATTTCAATTTGCCACCTGACCCAAGACTGTCCTTCCCTTCGGTTGGGACCCAGCCTAGGGCCCCAGATGACATCATCTCTTCAGCCTCCCTAATTCTACAGCAATTCCCAGTTTTTCTTGATCTTTTATGAAACAGATATTTAAAAAGAAAACAGGTTCTTGGGAGAAAAAAATAGAACATTCTTCATTCGGGGTTTGTCTGTTTCCTCAAGATTAGACGGCAGTTGTGAGTTCCCAGTCAGACTACTTCACAAGCGTGTCCTGGCAAGGGCAATACCACGCTTTGGCAGGGCTTCCAAATACATTTACTTAACTGAGCAAAGACTGAAATAAAAAGGAGTGAATGGGAAAAACTCCAGTGATTCTGCAGTCACTGAGGGTTGTATCTAGTAATCTGGCCCTCACAGCATGCTTCCCTAGCCAGTAGGGAGTAGTTGTTAAAGATGCAAATTCTTCAGCCCATCCCAGACCTGGTGAATCAGAAACTCCAGAAGGTAACATCTAAAACATTTTAAAACACAAACTGTAGGTGGTTTGTAGGTGGTTCTGATATGCACTGCTCCAGTGGATGCATGCCAGTGATGACTACACTAAAAAAGAAAAAAGAATGGGTATTTTTTCTTCCAGTCAAATGGATGTTTAAAGACGTACAGAGCAAAGACCATCACAGCAACATGACCACCGTGACTGCATCCATGTAAGAAACATGAGTGTGCCACATGATGGGGGATGCAGCAAGGTCTAAGAGTGACTGGGAAGTGATTTAGAATTAACATGCAACAGGGGCCTCCCCGGTGGCGCAGCGGTTGAGCGCTGGGTTGTGAAGCTGCCGGCGACCTCTGCGGCGCCGGTTCGATCCCCGTTCGATCCCCGTCTGCTCCCCGGCCACCTGAGGAGGGTCCCACATGGCGCGCAGACCTCTCCTGCCGCCCGCTGCTCCCCTCAGCAGTGTACTTCGGTCCTTCTGCCTGCTCTGCTCCCCGCTCTGGCTCTGGTGAATTCTCTCACCCTCCCGCACTTCTGACTGTACCCAGTGCATGTATAAACAAAACAAACAAATAAATAAATAAATAAATACATGCCTCTATTAAAAAAAAAAAAAAAATTTTAAAAAAAAAAAAATTAGAATTAACATGCAACAAAGGACTGTCTGGAAACTAAGCCAGCCCAGTGGAAAGCAGAGTGAAGAGGCAGACTCCTAAGCAGTTTAAACATCTACCTGTCACTGGGCCTGACACTAGCCCTCTCACGAGTAGCTACCTGAGACAGCACATTTATCCTTCTGGGTTTAAGCAGGATTGAGTTGAGTCATTTGCAACCAACAACAGTCCTAAGCTTAGCACACACACACAACTTCTATCGCATTTCCCACGAATTCCTACCATTTGAATTTGAGTTTAAGGGCTCACAGGAAGGAACAATACACAAACTCTTTACACTTTCATCAATGGTGTTATGAAGATTCTAGCTGCTCCACCACCAATACTTAGTCTTGCCAATCTCTTTTAGCTGCAGTTACCACAGTGGGTTTACAGTGGCCTCGTGCTATGGCCTCACCAGGCACTAAAGACTCAATGGTGCTGTACACCTCATCATGTTGATTTGCTCACTCAAATAAATCACTTTGTGACATACCTACTCACAGTTTTGCCCAGTTCTAAAAATTAAATTTGTTTTGCATCAGAGTATTCTAGAAGCAAGATTTTTGTCAAGTATATATAGGAAAATGTTTTCTCCTAATCTCTATCTTGCTTTTTGACATCAAATGTCTTTTTTATTGTTGAGCAATATTCTATTAGCTAGCTGAACCATAATTTCTCTCTCTATTCACCCACTGAATAGTGTTTAGATTCTAAGTGTTGACAGCTACAAATAGAATGACAAGCATTCGTGTATAGGTTTTTAGATGAAGATAACCTTTTATTTCTCTAGGGTAAAAATACAGGAATAGGACAGTTGGTGTATGGTAAATGTATGATGAACCTTAAGATTCTGCCTGTTTTCCAGAGTGGCCATATAATTGTGCATTCTCACTAGCATTCTTGCCAGTGACTTGGTATTGTCACTGCATTTTTCAGTTGTTCTAAATAGTTAATTTGTTTTATGACTGAGGTGTGGTTTACCTTGGTGACTGTCCCACACACATCAACGAAACAGAACAAAATAATACCACAACTTACTAATATTAAGAGAGACAAATTTTCTGGAAAGGCTGTTCCAAGAAAAAAAGAAAGAATAAAATCATACAAATAAATAAAAACAAGAGGCTATACACAAAGCATAAAATAAAGGAAAAAAATAAAAATAGTAAAGACTATGTAAAGTATCAAGAACTGGAAACTAATGAATTTGAAATTTTATTCAAACAGATAAATTTCTGAAAGAATGTAAACTACCAAATTGGCACAAAATTGGCAAACTGAATTTTTACTTACATCACATTTTCAAAACCTAGACAAGAAAAAATGAACAGCAAATTGTTCCTTTCAACCCCATGAATTCCAAATCCAGAAAATGTTTATAGTTTCAGGCAAATTTCACAACAGATAAGGTAAATATCCCATATAAACTGTTAACAGATCAATTGGAGCATTAAAAAATAAATCATGTTCAAGCCATATCATTCCACTGTTAGAATAGATTATTAGAAAATCTTAGTGTAATCTACCACATCAAAAGATTAGAGGGAAAGAAAAACATGACCCTTTCAAGGGATAATTAAGTGTCTGATAAAGTCCAAGAACTATTTTACTATGGGAAAACTATGAACTACAGCTTGATAATAAACTAGATGTAAGAGAAACCATTTGAGTTTTATTCTTGAAATACTATCCTGAAAGCAAAAGAATTTAATGACAGTATTATAGTTCCTGTCATACTGGTCCAAACATCCTAGTAGATTTATCAAGTTTAACAAAATGTACCATTCTGGTGGGCAATGTTCATAATGAGGGTGAGCGATGCATGGGCAGGGGCTGGGAGTACGTGGGCAGTCTCTGTATAGCAGATGTTGAAAAGTCAATGTGTTATGTTAGTGACAGAAAAAAAAGATTCCTGCAGGGACCACTGTGTGGAGTTTGCACATTGTCCCTATGTCTGCATGGGTTTTTTTTAAAGATTTATTTATTTTTATACAAGAGCTGGGGTATAGGCCAGAGGGGTGGGAGGTCAAGAGGATTCACTAGAGCCAGAGCAGGGAGCAGAACAGGCAGATGACTGAAATACACTGCTGAGGGGAGCAGCGGGAACAACAGGAGATGTCTGCCGCACCATGCTGGAATCTCCCTGGCCAGCCGGGAATCGAACCCGCACTGCAGAGGCTTCACACAGCCTCACAGCGCTGCGCCACCGGGGTGGCCCCTGCATGGGTTTTTTCTGTGCGCTGAGGCTGACTGGCTAGGCAGAGTGAGCGTGGATGTGCCTGAGAGTGCCCTGTGATGAAGGGTGTCCTATCCAGTCAGAGATGCCAGGAGAGACTCTGGCCATGAAAGACTGTGAACCAGAATAATCAAGCTGGAAAAATGAATGAGTGAATACAAATGATTGTTGAGTATTAGAAGTGCTCTGGCTCTTTATTTGGAAGTTTGGTGATGTCTCTGTAACCCAAAATATGCAGGAAGAACTTAAAACTCTTCTTGCTATCAATTAGCCTATGATAAAATTGGTTTTGCTTAAAGCTGCAGTTTCCAAGAATCTATCTACTACATTAAGGGAGGACTTACACTCAATTTTGCCATGAAGCTAAAACACCTCTTAAAAAATAAAGTCTTCAAAAACCAGGGTGGGGAAAAAGTAAGAGTGGCTCAAATGGAGGTAAAATATTTATTCAGAATAATGGTTAAAAATTATAAATATAATAAAGTAGAATAGTAGCTAACACTTAATGAACTCTTAAACTGTACCAGACACTTTTCAAAGCCCTTGACTTGCTTTATCTGATTTGCTCCTCACAACAGACCTAAGTGACTGGTTCTCTTATTCCCATTTCATAGATGATAAAATAGAGCAAAAAACAATGTGACATGATCACACACTGTCAGGAAGAGCCCAGCACTGACTGAACTCAAGTAGTAATTCTACCATAAGTCCTGGCAACAAAGAGATAAATTCCTTGGAGAATTTTAAAATAATAAAACCATAAAACCAGGGCCTCCCTGGTAGCGTAGAGGTTCCGTCTCAGCACTCTAGCACCTCTATGACCTGAGTTCAACCCCCAGCCAGGGAGCGAACCCACATATGCTACAGAAGACCTCTCCTGCCTCACCTACTGCATTTCAGTAAATCTACCTGTTTTGCTCCCCACTCTGTCACTGGGGAATCCTTTCACCCCCGCACCTCTGGCCTACACCCCAGTTCTCTGGGAAAAAAAAATTAATGTATTTTAAAAAATAATAAAACAGGGCCTCCCTGGTGGTGCAAGGGGTTAAGACAC